ACTGACTAGTGGTCTCACAGGTGACCTAAATGACATAACTTATTCATCATAGAAACTCGTGTCATTTGTAACTCTAAATAGGGAGTTTTCGTTCAGAATAAAGGAATCCTTTATACTGTGTATGTAGCAAATACAATGTAAATTACAAGTAAGAATTTAGCAAAATGCATAAATATTTTTCCAAGTCACAGTAAAATCATTTACTTTGTATAAATTGGATTAAAAATTCCACCTGAATCTACATTTTTTTATTAACATATCATTTCAAACAACAACAATTAAATTACATTTGCATAGCACCTTTCATGTTGGGAGGACATCCTAAGGTGCTGGACAATCAATGTTTCAGACCCAAGCTGGGGGTCGGGATTGGAAATGGTGGAGGGCAGGTGGGAAGGAGGGTGGTAAAGGCATGGTTGAAGAGGAAGGTCTTGAAACTGGTCTTGAAGGAGACAAGGGAGGGGGCGAGGCGGAGGAACTGCAGGATGGAGTTCCAGAGCATGGTGGCAGAGTGGCTGAAGGCCCACCCACCAAGCAGGCTGGAGCCCGCTGAGAAGCAGGCTGGTGCCCGCTGAGAAGCAGGCTGGTGCCTGCTGAGCAGAGGGAGTGGGCAGGTTGGTAGGGGGTTAGGAGGTTGCAGAAGTAGGGGAGAGCAAAGCCATGGAGGCTTTGAAAGTGAGGACCAGGATCTTGAACTGTATCCTCTGTGTTATGGGAAGCCAGTGGAGTTGGGCAAGGATGGGGGTGATAGGGTCATGGAGCCTGGTGCGGGAGAGGACACAGGCTGCAGAGTTCTGGATGATCTGCACCCTATGCAGGGAGGAGTTGGGGAGGCCGATAAGCAGGGAGTGCCTGGATGTTATGAATGCGTGTATGAGGGTATTGGCAGCCTGTGGTATTACACAGTGGTGGAGCTGAGCGATGTTGCGGAGGTGGGAAAAGGCGGAGCAGGTCATGGCACGGATGTGGGGTATGAAGGACAGTTGAGGGTTGAACAGGATGCCGAGGTTCCATATTGGCTCCGTGAAATGTAGAGTTTACCCATGGAGGGAGGTGCTGTCAGCGCCTGAGTTATTGAAGCGCTGATGGGAGCCAAGAGGAGGGCTTCGGTCTTGTTGACATTCAATTGCAGGAAGTTAGCTCTCATCCAGGACTTGGTGTCCGACAGGCAGTCTGTGAGGACAGCAGTGGTCCTGGAATTGAAGGTGAAGGCAGAGAGGTAGAGTTGGGTGTCATCTGCGTACATGTGGAAGTTGACCCCATGTCTGTGGATGATGTCACCAAGGGGGAGCATGTAGATATTGAAAGGGAGAGAGTCAAGGTCAGCAAATTCATATTTCGAAGCTGGCTTTTCTGCAAGTTCTTTTAAGAACTTTAGCAAAGTTGAGAATGAATTCAACAATTGGCCAAAGTCTGTAGTTTGACGTAATACATTAATAGGGTTAATCTAGACCCAGGTAGAATTTAACCTCATATATCCCCTTCTTAGCTCGGTGATGGGATTTTGAACACATATAGTCTAGGCTGACGCTCCAATACAGTCCTGGGCAGTGTTGCTTTGATGGTTGTCCTGGCTCAATGGCACAACAAGTTAGTACCAGAGTGGAGTGACTGAAAGGGGGGAGGGCTTTAATTTGGTACTGGATAAAGTGAAATGTAAGGGAAACAAACTCCCTAAAATGGTGGTAGATCGGAGAAGTGAGAAGAAGAGTCATAGATTTGGTTGACATGGCAGTCCAATATTTCTATTCTTGATTAAAAGTGTTTTGAGAAGCCACTAAGACAAATTTTGAACTGGTTTTGGGGGAATTAGAAGGAAGATACCCACTTTTTATATTCCTGAAGCAAGAGGCAAAAAGCTATTACGATAAGAACAAAGCTTCACTGGTTTCCTCAGGGCTTAACAGCAGGTTTTAAATGCATTTATGAGAAGAGGCCAATTTATCACATGTCAAAACAGAAATGAGAGCAAGAGAGCAGTTGGCAGGACAAATTAGGAATCTGACACAAAATTATATTAAACATCCATCTTTTTCAAATCTTGTGAGATTTAAGAAAGTGAAAATCTGAAATTGATTTGGTTAGTCAGAGGAGAATGATTATGCTCTCTAATTTGCATAAAAGTGATATACCGTACTCTAAGAATAGAGATAAGTAGAGCAACTTGTTAGACATTTTAAAAACAGCAACATATTCACAAGAGCACAAGATCAGAGTGGATGAAGAAGGTCTTTTCGCCCATCTTATCTCATCCTTTCAGAACACCCACCTTTCCTCTTCTCGTCAAAGTATCAAACTGTCTTTTAAATGTATTCAGTGACCTGAGCTCAATCATCCTTCTTGGCAACCTGTTCCAATTGGTAATTGCCCACTTGATAAAGGAATATTTCCTGGTGTCTGTCCTGAAACTTGTAAAATCCACAAGTATTAAACAAGGGAAGTGTGAGTTAAGTTTGATTAATTAATACATTTAGTGCTCACTTTTGCAGCATATATACTAAAATTGGAAAGATAATAGATAATTTAAAAAATACTCTGAGGATTTATGCCTCTAAATGCTTACAGCCTATCATGATATTAAGGATTTCTATCAACCTTCAATTCACCTAAGAGTATTGGACAGACAGAAACTAATTGCAGTGAAGTGAGCATCAGTGGACAGTGAAAACATGTTTGCTAGGAATTGTGATTTTAAGGATAGAACCTCAAACATGTTGTTTCATCAATGGTTATTTCAAGGAGTCTCTGTGGGCCTTTGGAAAGGGCCACCAGGAGACATCGTGAGGGTTTACAGCAAGATGCTTAAGATTGTGAAAGGATTCAATAATCTGTCTTCACTTGTTGTTGAGTCTATCAATGGGAGAAGGGGGCATAGCTTTTGTGCACAATTGGCTGCCATGTTTTGCCCACAAAATACACAGTCAGTCTACTTTACAGTATATTCTGTGAAGCGCTTTGAGATGTTTCAACAATGGTAAGGCACTCTTATCAAATGCAAGCAGTATATTTTATTATTATTATAAATATAGGATAGCATATCAAACAAGAAGCTTAGGAGGAATTTCTTTATGCAGAGGGTGGTGAGAATGCAAAACTCACTACCAAAAGCTGTGATCGAAGCAAAAAGCATTAATTTACATAAGAGAAAACTTGATATAATATACATGAGGGCGAAGGGAACGGAGCAGTATGGGAGTAAGGATTAGGAGGGGTGGAGACTTGTGTGAAGTATAAACACTGGCACAGACTTTTTGAGTCTTTTTCTCTCAACGTTCTATGTAATTCTATGTTTTTCCAACCAAATCCATTATACAGTCCAGCCATTACTGCCACAGTTGACGAGGCTTAAGGAAAAAGAGGATGTCTGAGCAATCCTTAAAGATGAACTGATGATATTTTGTCCATGGTAATTATCCATATGATTAGTCGCTCCTGTAGAAAGCAAGTGCTTGAATCAACCAATATGTAGTATCACGTTACTTAAAACTGAATCAACTCTCTTATACTTTCCAGTTCATGCTGATGTCATAACTTGGTGATATCAAACTGAAAGAATCAGATTTCATACTGGTTACATTTATGTAACTTTTTCCAGGTAACTACAAAATAATGTATTTCCATATTGATAATCTTTACCTGTTCTGGAAAGTGTTATGTGAACAGTGTAGTGGATACAGGACAGCTCTGTTATTATGTGGTGGTATGGTCCTTAAACTCGGTCCGTGTTAAAATGAATCGTGGAATATATAACCATCTATCTGGTCATCAGGTCATTACTGATGACACTTCCTGTGTATTCACACAAAGCAGAAAGTGACATCAGCAGTAACCTGACATCTGGTCAGCTAGTCAGCATCAAAAGCCAGGTCACTAAACCGCCTTATATTGGGGTTACCCTGTATTCTATGTTGTTTTCAAAATAGGAGCAGATTTTGCGTAAAGACATTCCATTGAATAGTCTGACACACTAGGCTAAGTGAGATTAGAGTTTTGGAAAGACAATTAGCATCACTAGCAATTTGCTGAGCTGAGAGATCTTTGTGACATTTATCATTAAAACAAAGAAGATTAGCTTTCACAAATGTAGAATGTTTCAAACACTGTAGATGCTCAACAAGACAAATGGTTTCAATCAGTAAACATTGTTTATCTTGCTGTATATAAAATTACAAGTTAAATAAGTCTTGTTTGAGAAAACCCTAGTATCAATTTGAATCTTAATTCAAATTTGCATTCTGTTACATTGTATTGGACTACAGATTGTCCATTGGGTAGAGTCAAGTAGAGTCATTTGGGGGCTTATAGGCTACTTAGTGATGTGTCTGGTAAAGGGAGAGCAGAACTGAGTCAACTCTTTGTAGCGGACTCAGTGATCCAAACCTGCAGGTCTGACGTTTTCCACGGCTTTGATGATGGTTGTCTGGCCTGCCTGACTCATGAGATAGAAGTGTAGGCAAGTTTCTTGGGATGGTATTCATCCCGTTTGGTTCTTAGAAACTCTGCAACCTAATACCGTATCGGGTAGGGTAGATCTAGCTGGCCAAGCAGGAGGAGGGTTACTAATGCTTCAAACTGCATAGGTGAGGGACAAGTGTTTTGTTTCCCTCCCCTCAGAGAGGAATCATGCACACCAGAACTGAAAGAGAAATTCTACTTCTGTGGTTCTCAATAAGTGGACTAGAAATAATAGAGTTTCTATTTGTGTCTAGACTGCTGTCCAAGCAAGGCAAAATATGTCTAAATGTTTATGCAAAGCATATGAATCTATAAGTATAGCATTTTTACTCCATATATATATTTCATATATGTATATGATATAATTTTATTATTTAATAAAAATGTATATTTATATAATACCTTTCATGTTGGGATGACATCTCAAAGCACTTCACATATTGTCTGAGCTGGGAGGAAGAGGAAGATGTCTGAAAGCATGATGAAGGAGATAGATCTTAAAGTGGGTATTGAAGATGGGGAGGAAAGGAGTTCTAGATGCAGAGACAATTGAAACTTGCATTTTTCAAAATGATTAGTTTGAAAACACATAAATGTGCCTCTCCACAGAAATCTTTAGTAAAAGGTGAAAGATTTATACGCCCAGAGAAACCAGAACATACAAAGAAATGTGTTCAAGTGTCTGGAAAGTGCACTTATACAATTACTATATGTCAGGTGGGAAGGTCCTAGCTGGAGAAGTACTGTGCGGCTCAGTTACCTCACAATGAATTGTGCTGCAATTGTCAGCACCTCTAAACAGCACAGGTTTAAGATGTAGGTCTGTGATGTTAGGTAACAGAGTGCATTACCTTAATCTACAATCGGCAGTGGACCTTGCATATTGAATTAAAAGCTGATAACTTGTGGGCACTTTTGACAGGGACATGATCCATAATGCAGGTTAGTAATGCCTTCATGTGATTAGAGCTAACCATGGGGTTGGGGGTGGGGGTGTGATTTAACACTTACGGCCTTTACTTGCTGGAGGGTTTTCTAAAAAACAAAATATTCGACTACACACTTATTTGTTTTTTGTGTGCATCTTGGTGTCAGTTTGGTTCAATCACAACAATGCCTCTCATACAGGGTAGCCTCCGGGAGCATTAGTTCAGTCTGTAGCCCACTTACCCACATTGGGACTTGAGCTGATTGTCTCGGCTGACATTTCATTGTGGGAAAGTAATGTATTGTCAAAATGCCATTCAAAGTCCCTCTGCTTGTTCTTTAGGTGGACATTACGGATTTCATAAAATTAATCCTTGTATTTGGTGTAACACCTTGGATGGACGTAGCAAAACACTTCACAGGATTTACTATAAAATGGAATGACTGTATATGTAGGCAAACGTGGCACTAAAATTGCATACAACAATGTCCCACAAACAGCCATGAAACGGATGGCTGATTTTTATCTGGAGGATTGTTGGCCAGAACACAAGGAGAAACTCCCTTCTCTTTTCAAATAGTGCCACAGGATTTTTTAATGTCTACCTGAACATGCAGATGGACCTTGGTTTAACAACTCATCTGAAGAAGGGCAACTCCGACAAACCCACACATTATAATGCCCAGCACGGCATTAGATTATGTGAGTTCAAGTCCCGAAGTGGCACTTGAGCCTACAACAACAACAACAAAGTTACATTTGTATAGTGCCTTTCACGTCGGGAGGACATCAGTATTTCAGTATTTCGAACCTTCTGAACCACAACCTTCAAGTGCTACCACTGAGCCACTTCATGACCATTAGTGAAAAAATAAACTTTTGTCCTGGCCAACAAATCTCTAGATTAATCGGTCCCCTTGTGGTTGTTTGCTGGATGTTTCTGTGCACAGAATGGTTACCGCAAATTGCCTACACTTGATAATATGGTCGTTTACGATGCTATGAAACTTCTAGTTCTTTTTATGTAGAATTACATGTATTTAAAAGCACATGATTGTGAGAATGCTAGACAGATTATATGCAGGATGCACTGAGAATGCAAATTAATTTTAAGGCAGTTATTTTCTTTGCAGTGTTATCAGTGGTCCCTGGAGATTTGAAGCAGTAGCTCACAGATGGAAATATGAACTGGAATGAACTTCAAACACTGTAACATGTGGCTCCTGAAATTCATGTAGCACTTAGTAAGGATAAGATTAGCAGTATATTGAAGAGGCCTTATAATAATGGTAAACAATAAATAAAATTATTGCATTTGATATAGCTTTCATCATATCCAAATTTATCAAAGTGCTGCACACAACGGGTATCTTAAAATGTTTTCACTGTTCTGTAAACAAATGAATCATTTGCAACATCCTGCAAACAGCAATGAGATAAATGAACAAACATAATTTATAATTATTGAATTTAAATAAAAGACAAATAGTGACGTACCAGAGGAGTTTGAATGCAACACTAAACTGTATTGAAGTAGCCCCTGTGAATGGTTCTTGGCTTGAGCGATATTCACTGACCTCACCTGGCCTGGCAGCAGAGCAATACAATTGGACTAACTTTCCCTGGACTGGGAAGGAAAAAGAATAGTAAGGATTCCACTCTGATCACTATGAGGTTAAACATGCTGGAAAGTCTACATCTATTGATCGTGGCATGGATAAGATTTCTCGGCCATGAAACAAAACAGCAGCAACAATTTGCATTTCCATTGTGCCCTTCACACGAGTAGTGGCATGGAGTGCTTAACCATGGCATGTTTGATGCCAAACTGGAAAGGGGGGAAAGGTGACCGAAGGCATGGCCGAAGAGGAAAGGCTTCTGGTATGATTTGGTGATGGGCAGAGAGGGGCAAGATAGAAGCAAGGAGTTCCAGAGATTCAGGGCACAGTGGCTGATAGAGCCCACCGTTGCACAGTATACTCTGTTCATGTTCCACATAAATGATGATGTGGGTAAAGTACTGGAGGACGACCACTGTTTATGAAAGAAAATAATAACTGAAGCCCGAAGAATCAATTGGGAGTGGTTTAATGATTTCAAATTATTATGCACATCTATTTGGTGCCATCTAGTGGTTATCTTTTCTCCATTCCCACTCTGTGTTTCTAATAATAATCCTTGCATTTAATACTAGCTGTACCCGTTGCAGCTACTCTTGCAACCAGTTTCATTTAATCGGCCTGCTCTCTTTCATCTGGCATTTTTATTTGTCCTTGAAAGGCTTGATCTTTGCTCCTTAGCCATCTTTATCCCTTAAGATTAAGAAAATGTGCTATTGAACTCATTAACATCCCTTGTTCACATATTTGCATACATATCCTTTTGGGAGGAATCCTGTTGGGAGAACTCCTGGTTGGGAGGACTCCTGATACACAGACAGACATTTAGTCTTTATTAGTAGAGTGTCTTATCATGTCGTTGAGACGTCTCAAAGCGTTTCACATAATATACTGTAAAGTGAATTGATTGTATTTTTTTGGGCGAAACGCCGCAGCCAATTGCGGACAGCAGTGTCCCACATACAGTCGTGGATTGAGTGACCAAATTAATTTTAAGGGTTATTATCCCCGAAAAGCAATCTGCCAATTGACTAACAACTGGGTTCCTACTTACCGCTAGGTAAACAGAGGAGTGTAGAGTAAGGAAATTTGCCTAAGGTTTCACCCTGCTGGGAATCAAACCCACGTCTCTTGTTTGTGAGGCAAGTGCTCTAATATACTAAATCCACGGCTGGAACAATGGGGGGAAGATCTGGTCTGAGAAGCCAGAATTTCCAGCTAAGTATAATTACAATGCCGGTGCTGGCATTTTTTTGGCGCCAACTTTTTGAGTGCTGAAAAATACTGGTAAATTGCTGTTTTTTATTATTATTATAATAATTTCGTTTGATATAACACTTTTCACGTCTTCTAGACGTCTCAAAGCACTTCATAGAATATACTGTAAAGTGAATTGACTGTATAGTTGTGCGCGAAACGCGGCAGCCAATTGCGCACAGCAATGTCTCACAAACAGTCGTGGATTGAAGTGACCAAATTATTATTTTTTTTCTTGAGGGATTATTTTCAGGCGTGTGGAGTAAGGAAACTTGCCCAAGGTTTTACCCTGCTGGGAATCGAATCCAGGTCTTTCACTTGTGAGGTGAATGCTCTAATCACTATTGTTTTTATTGTTAATTGTTTGGATCCCTCCAGCAGAAGATGATGAATAAGCTACCTTTTGATCACAGGATTCAAACTGAGTCAAAGTCGATATCCCGGCCTGGCCACTAAAAGGCCAGCAAGCACAGTGAGGCGGGGATCCTTACATTTGGTATAGCTATTTGGTATAGTACCCTTCATGTCAGGAGGATATTTCACAGTGCTTCACAGGATATACTGTAAAGTGGAATGACTGTGTTTGTGGTTGATCGTGCAACCAATTTGCACCCAGTAATGTCCCACAAACAGCTATCAAGTGAATGACCAATTTTATTGGGGGATTATTGTGGACGTGATATAATTCTCTTACTTTGATTGTTTTTTAATCCCTATGTTGTCACATTCAATAATTACAAATATAAAGCAAACCATTGTGATTACCTTTAATTTAGCTAACATCCTGAAACACAATTCATTTGTAGTTAATCATTTAGTGGAAGAAATATTTGCAACAAATTCAAAAAAGTTAATATATAATATGATGTTTTGGAAATTGCAAGCACTGACTGTGTAAAACCATAAAGTTGAGATGAATGCAACTGCTAATTGAACAAATACACCTATAAAATCACAACAAAATTGTTTGTTCACAAAAAACAGACCAAATCTGAAGCAACAACGTTTCATAATTCTTTTATTTATGTAAAGCATCATGCACAAGTGGTTTTACATTTCTATGGAAACAAAACCAATTTAGCAAACCATTCACATGCAAAAGAAACTAACCTGTCTTGTTACAGCATGGAATGCGTTTTTAGGCAAAACGACTGTAAAATGTAAATGCAGGTAGTAATAACCTGGCTGGCAGTGGTTAGTGGTATTTTTATCTATGACAAAATAGGATAATCTATTGCTTGAAGTAACTATGTAAATGCTTTCTATAAATCAAATTAAACCTGTCAAATTCCTCTATGAAAGTTAATGTGCATAAAACATTTACATTTTTTGACTCATCTTAAACACTTGACATTAAAATATTTGAAGAAAAGTGATTAAAATGCTTACACAATAGCACACACAACATTTTCATAGAATTGGACTCCATATACATACAGCATATAATGATTTCTTATTATCTATGAACCATATAAAAGACTGCATTTCGTTTTTATACAAATAGTGCTTCAACAATTGTTTAGTTTTTTTTAAATTACTAAAAGCTCATCAATGTTTAAACTGTAAAAATGTACATAATTTTAAAAAAGGGCTATTAACCATTTTGTTGAACCCTGGCTTCTAGTTATCTTAATTAACATTACATTCTTTTTTCCATGCAACTCTGCTCTACTCCACACTTTGCACATTCTCTGAACCAATTTAACTGAACCAACATATATCAATACCAGTGTACTCTATATGGCCCAAAATGTAATCTAATCTTATCGTGTAACAACATTTTGCTTTAAAAATCAAGAACCCATGTAATTGTGAAAATTTCTTATACTTGGTGTTAATTTGAAAGTTGTTTTTTTAAGGGTGGTAGAAAGCCAACTTCTAAATTACAGCTGGATTTAAGAACTTTACACAACTATATGCAATCTCGAATTTTAAAATAAAACTCTTACAGGCTAAGACTCAGCGTAAATTATATTAAACAGCCAAAATCAACATCAAAATTTGTTATCAATGAATGAAGACCTATCAGAATGTAACACCCTCCCTCTTCCTCTCCGTCACTTACAGAAGAAAGATGAACCTTGATATAGCTGAGATTACTGAGAATCTTAGAAAATTCTTCTGGAAAGGTTGATTTGAACAGATACGTTTCATTTTAACAATTTCCCTGAATACTATTCCCATCATTCGTTCACACATGTTTTCACTGGTAATCTTGGAAAGTGGTTAGGACTATTGTTCTCATAGTTATTCAGTAGGAATGACAGAGCAATGTGTTGTAATAGCTCTGCACTTAGCTGGCGCTACTAGGTAAATGAGATTTCTTCCTGCGCATTTTAAGTGAAATGCATTTAAATTGCTTTCTAATTTGTCTCCCAGCTATATTTTACAACCACTGCAGACTGCTAATTGAAGCACAGCTAAGTATCAACCACATTAATAGCTGAGGAGGTGAAAAGTGGAGGAACATGGTTACAGAAATTAACATTTTGACGCATTGCAACACAAAATAAATTGATCCCCATCTACAAAACAGCACTGCTTTGAGTATCCTAGGACGTCAATGTTTTAAAGGAGGATAATTTCATGGAATATATGGCCGATTAACTAGTATAATTCAAAACTGGCTTAGTAATAGAAAACGTGAGGTGATGATACATTGAAAAACCTCGGTTTGGGAAGCAGTGACCAGTGATGCTTTGCAAGGGTGTGGCCTGAGCCTTGCCATTATCACAGTTAAAATGACTCTGAAGAGAGAGCAGTTCATGTAAAGATTATAGAATTTGCTGCTGAAACCTAGCTATGTGATGAGGGAACAAATGAGGAGGAATAATAATAATAATAATCCTTGCATTTGATATAGCGCTTTTCATGTCGGGAGGACGTCCCAAAGCGCTTCACAGAACACACTGTAAAGTGAATTGACTGTATATTTGTGGGTGAACGCGGCAGCCAATTGCGCACAGCAATGTCCCACAAACAGTCGTAGATTGAAAATGACCAATTTATTATTGTTTTGGGTTTTTGGAGGAATTATTATTAAGTATGTGGAGTAAGGAAACTTGCCCAAGGTTTCGCCCTGCCTGGAATTGAACTCAGAATAAGGGGGGAGGGAGACAATTAGCAGAAATGAAAAAGGAAAAGGATTAGGGTGTAATTACTGACTGTTCACTGAAGGCTTGGGGGGAAGGGGGGTAATGTTTTCTGCAGAATAAAGTAGCCCAGACGTGACTGGTAGAGATGCAGGTATGTATGAATGTCCTAGGAATTTTCCTACGACAACTCTACAGTTTTCTCCATCCCTTCAAGTATCCACCTCAGAGAGTGGTTGAAAAGTATAAGGAATACACGTACTCCTGCTCCATTGAGATCTGAAACTATACCTGGGAATTTCTCAGACTGGAGGCTGTTGTTTCTGAGTTAAAAATTAATCAGGTGGCAGCAAGAATGCTAACACTTAACGACCAATACAACTGATCAGAACCAAGTGCTGTGCTGCATAGTCTTGCTTCAGCACATTGCTTCGGGCTTGGGAAAGGCAGAACATTAAAGTGTGTTACCAGGAAAGTGCATATGACAAAAAAGTTTTGCATTAAATTAATTTTGTGTTTGTGTATGTGTTTGTGTGTGTGTGTGTCTAGCAGGTGGGAGAGGTGGTGGGAAAAGGAGAACAGGAAATGCTGGAATCTGAGGCAGGTGCTGGAGGAGGGGGTTACAGCAATATTACACTGGATTGCAAAAGAAGTTCAGATGAAAAAGTAGGTACATTTGATCTCATTCTTCCAAAATACCCAGCTTATCTTTGTATTAAACCATCAAGCATTGTCTTAAAATCCTGGTTATAAAAAACAAATTACATTTATATTGTGCCTTTCACTTTGGAAGAATGTCCCAGGGCCCTGGACAATTAAGGGTTTGCACCCTAGCTGGGGGTTGGAATCAAAAGGGGGTGGAGGGTCGGTGAGTGGGAGGGTGGTCGAAAGCATGATTAAAGAGGAGGTAGCTTTACGAAGGAGGCAAGATGAGGCGGGGGGAACCTGGGAAAGAGTTCCAGAGGCAGGAAACCTGAAGGCCTGACCGCTAATGGGAAGAAACTTGCAATCTGGTTGGACTGAGCAAAGCAAATGGAGACACTGAACTAGAGCTTATCCTAAGGTTCAAAGAAAAAAAAATGTAATAGGGCAAATCCATTAACAAAACAAGAAAATTATAACTGACCCTGCAGTATACCAATGATTATACACTATCTGACTTCACAACAGTCAGAGAATAGTTGGGCAAGCTAAAAAGTTAAATATTTTCTCTCTCATGTACATGTGTAACAATTTAATGTGCACTTACATTGCAGAATGGCTTCCTGAAGTGATTCTGGACTATTAGCTCCTGATCCAGCGCTGTAGAAATCTCCCCATTTATAAAGCAGGACAGTTTCAATAGCAGGCAAAGCAACTGCATATACGATATGCAGTGTATAAACTCACCACTTGTGATTTAATAGGTGGCAGCAGTACCTTCCCCCATTGGCTTGCAATTAAAAGGTTGCTTTGCAGACCTGCACAAAGTGGGCATGAGCCCTCCAACTTGCTGAATTTACTAGTGGCCAAATAAATGTTCACCACTGCTTGTGTTTGTATTGCTATCTGGAAATGCTGGCTGAAATGCTGATTTGCACACCCTCTGATGCGATAGAAATAGTCCAGCACTTTTTGTATGCCAGTTTGCTTTGTTGAAGGTAAACCAGCTATATATTAAAAACCCAACATTACTGCAAAATACGATATTCAATTAGCTTGGACATCTCAACAATCATTTCACATAATGGATAGGCAGTGCAAAGGGATTCTGGAGTCCAGTTTACCTGGATATTGAATTTAATACCATGCATATTGCATCTAATATTTTCTTTTGATTTACAAAACATTTGAATTTTTTTTAAAAAAAGGAGAAATCAAATGGCTTCTTGCATGCTATAAAATGTAGTTACTATGAAAAATCCTAGGGAATTTACTGTTAACCATTGTGTTAAAACTCATTCAGAATGTGCAGAGTGAAGTTACCTCCACTACAACTACGAGTAACTATACAGCCTACAGTTTTCTGCTTGGCAATTGATGGGCAGCAAATTTGCTGATATTCCATATATCAACATTATTTAAGCATTCTGCATGAAGCCATTTAATTGATCAGTTGTTTCACATTTGATCTCCACTCATGTAAGGAGACATGAGTGGATGAAATGACAAGCAAAATTCCAGAAACTGTATACCACTGTGCTAAAACTCATTGTTCCCGAAAATGATGGGGGAAATATTTACATGTCTCTATTCTGAATTTAGCGACATTTTAAAAACAAAACAAAACTGGAATGCTACAGAAGAACAACTAAAACTTATTTCATTTCTAGGTTATTTAAAACCTAATTAAAGTGTCAAAGTAAAGTTCCATCACCAGTAATATCTTAATGACATTTAGTTAAGAGGAAATATTCACATTCAACTTTAATCCCCTTCCCCTACTGGGAGTACTTGTAACCAATACTACAGCATAGCTGCACCTGAAATTCACCAGCAGTTAGTCACCAGGTCATGTGGAAACTATAGAACAGTATAACATTGTTGGCCCACGTTCATACTGTGGAGTGTTTCTGACCTCCAGGTGGCACTACAAGACCAAAGTACTCCATATTCTCTGCTGCAGCATTATCAATGTGACCATTCATCTTACTGTGTTTAGGAAAAAGGTTCTGCTGGTATTCAGGATTGTCCAGGCTTACGTTGCGAGTAATTTTTTGGTCCAAGTGATTTGGATGGTTAAAGCCCATTTTGCTGGTGGGCTGGCTGTCGTTCACGTACTCTGGGTTCTCCACAGCATTTGGGAGTGAGTTTAAATACTGAGATTCAGTGAACGGGCCCTTGCCATTCTTCTGGACAGGGCTGAAAAGGTCCTGGTAGGCTGGATTTTCCATATCTGAGAAGGGCCTTAAATGATTTGGAGGTGTGCTCCTCTCAAGTTGGTTGACGTAGTCTACAAAATAAATGGGTAGGAGTAACATGAGTAAAAAGGGGCTTTTTTTTTACAATATAAATATAGATAGATTAGAGAAAAATACAAGCAAGCTTGAGTTCTGAAACAACCATTAATTTAACAGCCTCTCTCTAGGGTGATAACAACAAGATTACATTTGTATAGCGCCTTTCACGTTGGGAGGCTAACAAACACAATGCCCACACCATGTTGCTTTTCTCTTTACAACTTGCCTCATAATTTCTTTCGTGCTAATTCATTGGTCATTTTTGCTTGTCCATCTAATCTTCAATCTACATCTGCAGCACCATAAACTCACATGCCTCCAACCTTACTTTAACATTCAAGGTCCAATTGTCACATCTGTTCACACAAGTGAACATTTCTTCAAGGTGTCTGATTGGCTCTGTTAGAAGTACTTTTACTTTAGAGTTGAAAGGTTTGGATTCAAGCCTCACTCCTTCTCTTTTGCTCATAGCTATCCTGACACCACAATGCAGTACTGGGGGAATCCTGCATTTTCTGAGATGATGCATTAAGGTTTTTCAGGTGCACATTGAAGATACCATGGCAGTATTTGCTCTATTTCCACATTTACTCCAAGGTCAATTTTTGAGAGGCTTTTCTTTGTAATTATGTAGTGTTTGTTGGAGCTGCTATTGTCAAATTGTAATAAATTGAGAGACAAGTAAAAATGAACATGGCTGATTGCTGCAAAGAAATGGACAAGGGTTTCATCAGGAATGGTACAGAGACCGAAAGGCATGGGGAGCACTAGGCATCAATCTTCAGAAGCTGGAGGCATTTAACTTAAAGTTGACAGGCAAAATTGCAAGGGAAAGAGTCCCTCTTATGCCCAAATAAATGGTGCATTAAAATATTTTGCCCACAAAGTAAGCTATCCACTCTAGCAAAGTGAATAGCATTGGTTAGTCTCTCATCATGTCCAGTACCAACTCTGCTCACCAGACTTCCCAACATTTCGCTTCACAACCTGCAGATTATTCAGAACTCTGCAGCTCGTGTCCTATCCCACACCAAGCTCTGTGAGCAGATCACTCTCATCTGGGTCCATTGGCTCACATCTCCGAGATGATCAAGTTCAATATCTCCAATCTCTGAGAGGATCGATTTAAAGGCCTCAACAGTCTTGCCCTATGCTATCCTTGCGACTTGCTAAAAACTTACCAACCTGCCAGATCCCTCTGCTCGGCAGGCACTGGCCTGCTCCACGTCCCCCACCCTGCCCGCCCCACCATTAGCAGTCGGGCCTTCAGTCTTTCAGCCCCACCCTCTGGAACTCCACCCAAGAGTCCCTTCGCCTTGCACCTCCCTTGCCTCCTTCAAGGTCCGTCTTTAGACCTTCCTCTTTGACTGTGCCTTCGATCATCTTCCCACCCAAACCCCTCACCCCTCTAAATTCAATCCCCAGCTCGGGTGCAAACCCTCACCTGATCCACGCCTTGGGATCTCCTCCCAACATGAAAGGCACTCTATCAATGCAATTTGTTGTTGTTGATTAGTGTGAACCAAAAAAGGAACAATACTAAATATATGAAGTACATCCAGTCACTGCATCCAACTAGTAAGTGATAAACTGATTAAAAATGACAATTTATTATAGTAATTTAAGGATGCAATTAACAGCAGCAAAGTTGCTGTAATAGGTGGACAAACCTGGAGCACATTGGAAGCAACTATTTAATTCCTCTTCATCGAGGACAAGTGTTGGATCAGTGCTGTAGCGGAGAGGTTCGCTGTCTTCCTGCTTAGGAATGGTTTGATGCTGTATAAACAAAAGACAAGTAGTTATGGAATGCAAAGGCACACGTCAACAGTACAAACTTATCACTTTAATCTTAGAAGTTGATACATTTTACTAAAATTAGGACAAAAGTAGTTGCGCACTGTTTCATGTAAATCTGACATATATTTCTGCACAAATGCAACCCTACATTCACCTCAAACAAATGGAATCCAAGAAAAACAAACTTTTTGTACTGTTTTTGCATATTATTACTGTGTGATATAATATGGGAAAAACAGACCTTTGGATGAGACATTAAATTGAGGTCCTGTCTGCCTGAGGTTGAATTCAAAAATTCAAAATTTAAAAAATTCAATATTCAAAAAGAGAATTTGGTTTCTCTCAGTGTCCTGCCCAACAATCCCCAAGATGAAATTAGTTATTCACTTCATGGCTGTTTGTGGGTCACTGCTGTCCACAAATTGACTGTCACGTTCACCTACAAATATACAGTCACTACACTTTATAATAAATTCTGTGAAACTCTTTGAAATGTTCGGCAATATAGTAAGGTACTATATCAAAGTCAAGGATCATTTTATGTACTGTTTATTTCCATATATTTAATGCACATCAACAAGTGCTTATGTTTCATAGCATGTTTCATGTTGCCTACAAATATTCAATTTCACAGTAATTCCTGTGAAGCGCTTTGAGACATCCTTCCGACGTGATAAGGCACAAAACCAAATGTAAGGACTACAATAGCTTATTATTATGTCTCCTGCCTGACCCGCCCTACCATCGGTGGCCGAGCTTTCAGCCTCTCTGCCCCACACTCTGGAAATTCCATCCCACAGTCCCTTCTCCTCGCTTCCTTCCTTGCCTCCTTCAAGGCCGGTCTCAAGACCCTCCTCTTCGATCGTGCCTTCGGTCGCCCTCCCACCTCTCTGCCTTCCCTCACCCCTACACCAGTAGTTCCCCATGCTCTGACTGTCCAGCGTCTTGGGACGTCCTCCCGATGTGAAAGGCGCTCTATAACTGTAATTTTGTTGTTGTTTTATTGTTATTATAGCCAAGCATGAATAGCTGTAGTGGGGGAATTTATTTTGTTCATTAAAATAGTTTGCATTTGCTGTATTACTGCGGTTTACAGGGTAAATGTTGCCAAAGGCACATACTACAAATATTTTTCTCAAAATTATTGCATAATCAAAACAAATAAATTTATTTTATAAACTTGTTGAATCCTAAATGATTTTGTTAGTTCAGCATATTTTAAATTTTCACCGCCACCCCATGTGAAGGGCACTATATAAATGCAGGTTTAAATGCTTAAAGATTATCCAAACCAGACAGAGTTCCACATATTTATTTACTTTCACATGAACATTTGTCTATGTCTGGATAGAATGTGCATTCTCTCCACAGAGGGATGCACCCTGCTTACCTAAATCCAGAAAGTATTAGGCACATGTTGGCAGGAGCCAAACCTTGGGATCCCCAGAGTGTGCAATAGGATTTTGCTGGAGTTTACGTAGCAAAATGACATTGCTTGCAATGTCTGGCAATCTTCCCGCTGCTTGTCCAAGTAAGATCGCTCTAACAGATAGGGCTTTGCTGTGCAGAGTCAACTGTAACTGAGTGGAAATCTTTACTCCTCGTGACTAGTCTGCCCCTCTTTGTCTTGCTGAAGACCCAGGCTGACTGATCTGTCATCAGCAGTGATCTGGGGGTACTGTAGATCCACAAGGCCCCCGAATTCAGAACTCTGCCGCCCACATTCTCACCCGTACTAAACTCCGCTCCCCGATCACCCCAGTCCTTGCCAGACTGCACTGGCTGCCTATCCCAGAGAGGACCGATTTCAAGATTTCAAGATCCTCACCCTCGTATTCAAGTCCCTGCACTCCTCCGCACCCCCTACCTCTCTGACCTCCTCTCTCCTCAAAACAGTACCCGTTGCCTTTGTTCCTCCGGGTCTGGCCTCCTGCTTGTCCCCCGAGGTCTCCGCTCCACCCTCGGCGGCCGTACCTTCAGCCACAATGCCCCGAGGCTCTGGAACTGCCTTCCTCACTCCCTTCACCTCTCTCTCTCCCTTCCCATTTTCGGGACTCTGCTGAAGACCTTTCTTTTCGACCGCGCCTTTGGTCACCTTCCTCCCCCTCCCCCTGGCTCGGTCCCGGGATCCTAAACTGTAAAGCGTTCTGAGACGCCATCCGGCTGTATAAATCCAAGTTGTTGTTGTTGTTGAATTGGGCAACCCGTTGCCAGACATGTCATCTTGGAGCCAGTTCCGCTACAAGAACATTCCAAATATTCCCCCTCGCTCCCCCAGGATAGTCATTGACTGGTCAGAGTTTTTATTAACATTCTGGAGCTGTTAAATGACAGGAGACGTTGAAATGAGTTGCTGCCATTTCAAGCTAATTACACAACAATCATTTCATTCTGAAGATTGAAGGAAAGATGTTAGATCTGATGACTGATCCCTATTAATTATTCAAAGCTAGATCAATTTGATACCTTTGTAATCTGTACAGATTTTAACTGAGTAAATATTGAGGTCACAGTACACTACAGTTTTCCAGTGGTTTAGGTAGCTAAGATCATGTACATCAAGGTGCTCACTTTAGGATAAATTGTGTCCGTAACTTCAATGTCAATGTAATTTGACCTACACAGTCCACAAGTTAGATTGTATTCCAGAGGGAGACTAGAAGCATTTGCATTGTAGGATACCACAGATACTTTCCACAATATGATGTCCACATTAGAGCACTCGACTCGCAAGTGAGAGGCCTAGATTTGATTCCTGGCAGGGCGAAACATTGGGCAAGTTTCCTTACTCCACATGCCTCTGTTTACCTAGCAGTAAGTAGAAATCTGGTTGTTAGTCGATTAGCGGACTAACAACTGGGAGGTAATAATTTCTTTTTTAAAAAAATTGGTCACTCAATCCAGGACTGTTTGTGGGACACTGTTGTGCGCTATTGGCTGCTGCGTTTTGCCCACAAATATACAGTTAATTCACTTTACAGTCTATTTTGTGAAGCGCTTTGAGATGCCTAGAAGACGTGAAAAGTGCTATGTCAAATGCAAGGATTATTATTATTATTATCAGTTACAGCCCTACAATATCAATGCAGCATTCATAAATATTATTTACAAAATGTGAATTCCTATTGTGCAGAGGAACATCATGAAAGGCTTATTCTGCTTGAAACCCATTTAAAATAATAAAACAAATACTTCCATATCTTCCCTGTGCTGGGAAAATCACAGGCTATTAGATTCTGTAAACCACATAGAAGTGCTTTCTTCACGCTTGTGATCAGCAGAACTTTGTGAACTACTGGTTCCTTACAGATGCAATCTTTGGGGGTGAGGGGGCGTCAGTCGGGCGTCTGATACATGCAGAAACCCATCACCATTCTGAAGAGTATCCAAACCAAACTGAGATTTCCATGTATCCCACCTACACATGAAGATCCCAGAGATAGATTGTTGGAATGCAATGCACACTCTCTCCCTGGAGGAGCGCATCCTGCTTACCTAATTCCATAAAGTATTAGGTGCAGGTTGGCAAGAGCCAAGGCTTGGGGACCCCAGAAAATGCGTTGGGTACTGCTGGAGTCTAACCAGCTACAACCACATAGCTTGCCATTGGTATTACTGTCTCACAAGATTTCCACCTGCTTGTCCAGCCAGGACCACCCTACCTGTTAGGGCTTTAGCTCACAGGGCTAACAGGAGCTGGGTTTGATGACTCCCTGACCCCAGTGACTGATCTGCTCTTCCAGATCCTGCCGATGAGCCAGACTGGCTGTGCTGTCATCAGCCGTGCCCTGCAATACTGCGGACCTGTCTGGCTCATGAACTAGTCTACCGAGACCGCCACAGAGGCCTAGCTCGATTCTGACATTCCACTGCCAGGCATGTCACCCTGGAGCCTGTTCAGCTCCACGGAGACCCTGGTTACCTCACCGCCTCCCCTCCACCACAATAGGATAAACAATAATCAATGGTGAGTTTGCAAGAATTGCAAAATCACTTCCTCTAATTAGTTAAATTGTCAGAGAAGGGAATAAAGGGATATGAGAGACGGGATAAAGAACGGCATGGATTAGTTGTGCCAAACAGCCTGATTTTATGCTGTAATTGTCTATTAGCTGAATTCCGAGAGCAACTCACTTTTGTTTTATTATTTTATGTTATTATATGCGTGGTAATGTTTCATTTGAAATAGAAGTCACTCTATAAATTGGACGTAATACAGCATATATATTATGTATACAAATTTCATTTATTTTATGGTTTTAAAACAAATTTTAATAATAATAATCCTTGTATTTGATATAGCGCCTTATCACGACTTTGAGATGTCGTATTCCTTGCTGCTGGGCTTCTCCAAACATAAGGAAATCAGTAAGAAAGTTATCAAAATGGCTGCTTAGTATTGGTGAGATAGAAGATACAGTGTCAGAAAGTCAATTCAGTTCCAATGGAGAGGGAAGGAATGGATTATTGGTGTCCTTAGTATAAAATATTTATTCCCTCTTTTTAGAAATGTTTCCTTTTGCTCCGATTTTATGTCCCATACACAATAGTGTTCAGAAGAATAAGAAGAGGTCAATTATGGTTCTGCATTTGGAAATTGGCAATTGTGAATGACTGGCATTAGCGAAGAAAAGCTACACTTTATAACAGATTTTCTTTTCAAAACCCTGCTCTGCCATTAAAAAACGACATGTGGTTAGATTAGGCACCATCTGTTTGTTACTTGCTTATAATAGCAAAAACACTTCTGAAAGCTAATGGTTCATTGTGAAGAACTGCGGGTGGTGGAGTGGCAGAGTCTTACAACAAAGCAAGACGGTTGTCTCCAGAGTAAATGTAATATTAGATATTAATAAGGACTCATCAAAAAGTCAGGAAAATAAATCTTATCAAAGGGAGCGCTGAGACAGGTCAATTTGGGAATACTAACGACTGGCTCTGTGCATCATGCAAGTCAGTATTAGCAGTTAAAGTATTTAGTGTTGTTTATTTTCTTCTGAATGCTAAATGTAATTCAATAACATTCTCTTTCCTTTAAATGCAAGAATATGTTGCCTGTCAAAAGTACGTATATCTACGGGAATGTGTGTGTGTGTATGTGTGTGAGGGTGGGAGCAAAATCCTTCTTCCCCAAATAATCTTATTATTGAATTACTCGGAAATAAAAAACATAGGTTGGCAAGAACCAGTAGTCCTGAGGGCAAATTTCCAGGAATTTAGAAATGTAGGAAAGAAGCTGTGATGCTTTGTATTGCAATACGGAAATGAAGTGTAAACATTTAGTTTGTTTTACATAAGTTTCAAATAGAGGTGGAAAAATCGCTTAGTTGGCATCCTACATTGGATTTCTTTGTTATCCTTTTAAAGATGAAAGAGATAGGCCAGATCCAGATCCCGCAGAGCAAGGATTGCTGTCTGAGATATCTGCATCAACAGTACACATTTCACTCAGTAGCTCAGAGACTGGCACTAAGGCAATGACTGCACATTGTGTCTTGTGCCTAGCAACAAAACTGCTGCCACTGGATGAATGTACCTTGACGAAAAAGTTTGGCTAATACAGTAATGACTCCAGATGGTGTATGGAAATTCCCTGTTGTAAAAAGATTGATTGAGATGGTGACTTCATTGGCAGGGATGTGCTCACAGCTTCTGATGACAAGTCTGGATTTACAAAATGCCACAGATTAGTGACAGCTTGACAGGTCACCAGAAGTCACTTCGCACATTATTCTTCCATCATGCCTGAGTAATTAGACCTTTCCCTGTATATAACCTCTGTACTCATCTTTGCAGTCTATGAGTCCTCTTCCTGCTGCAGTTTTCTTGAAACATTTGCTAAATTTCGTTGTTATGAATAATAATAATCCCTGTGTTTGATATCTCCCTTTTTACACCAGGACATCTCACAGGCTTCACAGGATTTACAAATGGCCATGAAGTGAATAAACAATTTTATCTGTGGGTTATTAAGTGAAGACATTGGGGAAAATCCCTTCTCTTTCTGAATAGTGCCATGGGATCTTTAATGTCCACCTGAACAGGCAGACGGGGCCTCGGTTTAACATTTCATCCGAAGGACGGGAACGGCATAGCAAGCCCTTAACAATGAACTGAAGTGTCAACCTGGACTATGCGAGTTCAAAGTCCTGTGTGGAGTTGGCTTGAACCCACAAACTTCTGATTCATTTCAGAGGTGTGAGTGCTAACAACTGAGCCAGGCTGATACTGAAAATCTATGAACTGATCATTTGAAGTGCAACGCACAAACACATATTACTCTGAACTGCTCCAAAGTAAACCTCAACCACAGAGTTGGTGTTTATTAATGCCACTAAGAGGTATCAGATGAGGATCAGGGAACTGAATGCAAAACCTGTTCCTCATTCATTAGATATGCAAAGGCAGCAGGACAAGAGGGGCAATTTTAGGGCAGCCACCAGGAAGCATTAATTTACTCAGATGGCAATCAACAATTTGAATAGGTTACTAGGAAAGTGGTAGAGGCCAGAGCACTAGTTTCTTTCAAGAAAAGGTTTGATGCTGTAATGGGAAGAAAGAACAGTGAATATTCCAGGAATAGATCAAATGGGCAGAAGGGCTTTATTTCCTGTACCTCTGTGATGATCACCAGTCAATGGTCTTAATTGGCTGAGCAACAATGTGGTGCTAACTTTTAAAAGATGCTAAAAATTAATTGGAGAAATAGGACTAAGTAACGTTTGATTTTTCAATCTGGCTCAGAGTCCAACCGTCCGCCACTTTTTATTGCTCTCCACAAACTGATGCAAAATAATAGGTTAATGCGGTGAGCAACCCAATACAATTTGTATTTATATAGCGTCTTTCATGTTGGGATCACATCTTTAGGAATACACCTAAATTGGCTGTGTACCAAAGTATACAAAGTACAGAAGTCTTCTCCCAAATAATCATAGGTTGAGGGTGCAAAAGGCAATTTGAGGCAGATACCAGAAAGTATTTATTTACATAGAGAGTAATTAATGAAATAGGATACCAGAAAAGAAAGTTTGAGGCTAGGATGTCGAATTAATTTAAAATATAGCTTGGTGCAGTAACAAAATTGATAGTAGGGTAGGTTGAGATCAAATAGACCTCCTCATCTGAACCTCTCATGTGATTTGTGTAATAACAATCCTTTCACTTATAGTATAATAATAATAATCCTCCCAATGCGGAGGATCTCTCAAAGTGCTTCACAGTGCATACTATAGTATTGACTGTATATTTTATAGGCAAATATGGCAGCCAATGTGCACATAAACAGCCGTCATGTGAATGACCAATTTAGTTAGGGGGATTGTTGGCCAAGACACCAGGAGAAACTCTTCTTTTTTCGAATAATTCACTTTGCTACTAGATTGAACAAATTGTAATTGGAACTTAACATCTGTTCATCCTTCATGCGAATGGCAATCAACCAAGTATAGGGATGATTGACTTTTTTACTTACGCCATTTCTGTTGATCAATGTTGATGAATTGTTGCTCGTCATACTCTGGTGGTGAAATTATAAGAAGATAAATGACTGAAAGGAATACAGATACACAGTAGAGACAAAGGATTCAAGGGGTTAAAATTATTTTAATTAACGCATTATGGTAAATGATGATGATCCTGAGATCTGTGACAATGGCATTTCATGCTAAACATTTCATGCTCTCACACAAAGCTCTACATGTTCCACTACTGACACCCACGTCAAGCTCCATTGGGATCTAGAGGATTACATTTTAGATGTCAGGTCACCAATCGACAATATATTAATAATACTATTGAATCCAGCACTTTTCATTAATATGTTGTAAATTATTAGATACAGCACCTCAGGTAAAAATATGTAATATTTTTCCCAAATCTACAAAAATCTGTAGTAATTCACCAATATTATGATCAACCAGCAGAGCTGGGATGAGAAAAAACATGCATAGCATTTTATAATTCGATGGTGATGGAAAAAGCAATTCTAGACTTATAAGCTTTACCTTGACAAATACAACAACATTTCAGAAAATTGGAGAAACTGGGCTTGTAATTCTACAGCTATAAGAGGGTAGAAATTTGCCGTCTCTTTTAAGAACAATTTCTAGCTTTTCAATTAGATTATACAATACAAGGATATACTGTAGTACAATGAATTGAAAAAGTGAGAGACTCACCACTGAGGTGCATATTGGTGTCCTTGATGTGGAAGGACTATTAAAGAACCCTGGTTGAGGAACAAGGTACTCATCTGCATCCACTATGTCTTCCATGTCTTCTTCGGACATCAGTGTGCGGTAGAACCTTGAGTCAGTAGGACTTGGTAGATGCATGCAGTCATCACCCTAGCAGAAGACCCAGCCTGTTAATGCTTAATTTCTAATTCACGAAGTGCACCCACCCTCTGGAACTCCATCCCACAGACCCTCTGTCTCGCCCCCTCCCTCGCCACCTTCAAGACCCACCTCAAGACCCTCCTCTTCGACCGTGCTTCAATCACCCTGCTTCCCCTCTACCCTCTCCCACCCCGATCCTCAGCTCGGGTCCGTAACTCTGTCTTTCCAGCACCTTGGGACGTCCTCCTGACGTGAAAGGCGCTATACAAATGTAATTTTGTTGTTATTGTTGTTGCATGTCTTTAGTTTCAATTACAATTCACAGCTTGTAACAGGAAACAATGTTCAGAATCCAATTCAGAAACATAATAAACTTTACATTCCTTGATGTTGCAGTGAAATAAATTTGCTAAAAATAAATCCGCCTTTTGAAAAGCACCATATTTTGTGCCAATGTTTCAATAATAAGAATAATAGTCCTTGCATTTGATATAGGACCTTATCACGTCTGTGAGACATCTCAAAGCGCTTCACAGAATATACTGTAAACTGAATTGACTGTATATTTTGTGGGCAAAACTCGCAGCCAATTGCGCACAGCAGTGTCCCACAACAGTTCGTGCATTGTTCTTATTAAAGGAGGAAGTTATGTAAAGTACATTACATGCTCTTACAGCACAGACCCTGGGAACCGTACAATAAATCTTCCAAGGTTTTATGTGGGTTTCTATGAATGAGGAAGTCATGCCTAAGAAAATGCTAAACATGGGATATTGTGTTACCTACATACAGAGATAGGCTCCCCACAAAATGAGCCTTTATTTTGTTCCAAAGAAAATACACTGTGCTGATGAAATAAAACAAGCTTAAGCTTTGAAGACACAGAGGGCTTTAGAAATCCCAATGAAACACTACTCATAATTATTTTTAGGATGTGAATAAGGAAAATGGCTAAACAAGTTCTGAATAAGTTTCTTACAGCAAAGATCTTTCAAAGAGCTGGCACAGGCATAATGGGCTGAATGGCTTCCTTCTGTGCTATAAAAAATTGTGTTGGAAGGTAGGTACTGTGCAGACTGTGGATTGAGGAATCTCGATGGGTCATTTATGGACACAGTCGTCAGTTCACTATATTCCGTCCAGATGTTTCCCATTCCCAGGGATTGCTTTTAGTGTGACAAGATTCATTAACTCACATTCAGCAGTGTGATGCCCTCACTCCCACCTATTTAAAGATACCAATAGGGAATGTTTACATGCAAGTCAAAGTGAATCTCCCCCCTGAAAATTCAAATTTACTAAATTCTCAGTAATAACACTAATATTTCTGAACAAAATATGGAGTGACTTTGATCTTATCATGAAGTAGTATCACAGTAACAGACACAAATTTTACAGGATGCTTGCTTGGAAATCATCCCAGTAAATAAATTCGAACAAAAGAACCTATTGTGATAAATGGTATTCCCATGGAACAATCCTGAGTATAGCATAGTCTAAAACGAACTGTACATCAATAATTTGAGACTAATCATATATCTGCTTATAGAAATAACTTCAGATCCTTGTAAATGATACAGATGTACCTCATTCATCATAGAGATAAAAAAAGATGTTTTGCTACCTTAAGAGGATAGAATGCATGAAAACGTTTGGCAAACCTTTTATAATGCTCCATAGAATGGTATAAATCACCCTGAAAACACTGTATTGCTTGTGTGATGCAAATGACATATGTTTCTTCTCCTTCAAACATTTTCATGAAAGAAGCTTTTTACGATTTTTTTTTAAAATGAATTCCTACAAAGTTCAAGGATAGAACATGGTAAGGACTCACTAACTCATTTGGTTATGAAATGTCTTGCTTGCAAGGTACAAATCCCTAATGGGAATGGTGCTTTGAGGCAAAATGAGCTATTGGTACATTCAGTAATCTCCGATAACCAGTACCGTACCTGAATTACCAGATAGCGAGGTGGATCTCGGGCCATTCGGCAGAATTCTGAGGTCAGCTCTCGGAATCTAGGCCGGCTTTCTGCATCAATCATCCAGCCTATTTCATGAAAATACATAAATAGATGCATTTCACGTTGATATTATAGTTAAACCAGCATTTCAATGTATCAAATTACACAGCATTGAACACATTTCCTGATACAAAACAACACCTGCACAATCCAGCATCAGACATTTCTCCAATCATGAATTTCTACTGCTCATTATGCTGAATAGTTAGCCGAGCTTATGCCTGTCACTTTTCATGAACCGCCACTTGCAGCTGATTATAAATTGTACAATTAAGCACCTCAATTCAGATCCAGCAGTGACATAAATGATTGAAAGGGTGGCGGTACTAACATTGCAAATTATTTTTTTAAATAAAATGTGCATAGAAGTCTTGTTTCAAACACATTTGATTTTTGACAAAGTGGCTATGCATTTGTGAAGATTCAGTAATGCACAGACACTCAAGAGTATTTTTATTATTTGTAGGGAGGCTACATTTAGATTTTATTCATTATATTCAAAAAGACAGCAGGCAGGAGCTGTTTGCCCCGAACAACATCAACCAAGAGCTAATTATATCAAAAGGCACAGTTCAGGTTTGGGTTCTGATAGGCTGGTGGAACTGTACATTGAGCGAACAGATGGAACAGCAACTTTTAAATATCATGGTAATTAGAACACCCCTATGGGGTTTAAATACAAAAGGCTTCTTCGGTGTGAAGATAAAGAACATTGTGTTAACATCTATACCGTCAGAATCTTTTGTCCCTGTAAACTGAACCTACATTTAACCATGATCATGTAAACATCAATTGTACAGATCGGAGGTTGTGGCAGCCTTTCCCCCTTTTCCAAGATCGATGGGATTTCACAGGCTGGAATTCCATCATAGGGCTTTGATCCAAAGGTCATCAATTCCCAAATGGTCACTCCTGAGGAAGAGAGAAGGAAGGTTATTATCTGTTGCATGCAGTGCAGTTTGAGAAATAGATGGCAGATGGACAGTAAGACACTTTGAAGTCAACACAAAACATGTTCATTCGAATTCTAAAACATGGGCTGTACACAAGAAATGCTATGTCAATACTAACATTCACTGCCCATAAAAATTCTTTGATAGACGAGATAGGCAAAATATCAATACTACCCAATACCTCCAAAACAGTGCTGCAGGTTAGGTCTCAGTCTATTAACAGAAAACAAGGTTGTGATAAACAAACTTTATATTAAAAAATTCACTGAAGTACATTTGAGCTCCACAAGTGGCATGCAGAGCAAAATGTACATGGAAGCAATTTATAGACTTGTAAATATTGGTGTTTGGTTTCTTAAATAAATAGCTAGTGTTATGACTGTTCTAAATGTACATTCTCTCTATGTTACATTTTGAATAGAAATAGCATTCTCCATGACTTACCATAGCTCCATATATCGCTTTGGTGGGTGAATGTTCTATGAAGGATTGATTCCAAAGCCATCCATTTAATGGGCAACTGTGTAGGATAGGAATAGAAACTTGGTTTAGTTAAAATGTATTGTGGTCTTTTACACTCAATTACTGAACCCCCCCCTTGTAGACTGTAGATGCACTTTGCTATTTGCTATTTCTATTGCTCTTAAAAAAAGATTAAGTTGCTGAATTACATCCTGGTGCACCATTTTAGGGAGGAGATGACAGATTTGATCCCCTAATCCATCCAGTAACAACTCCTTACATTTATACTTCATTATTTTGTGTGGTCTTGCTCGTACACCAGTACTATTAACCCTGGCATTGCTAGTCAATTGTGAACACGACCCAATGCATCCTTAAATGTTTCTGTTGCCGCAACAAGTATTATCACATACAAAAATCAAATACTTGAGATGATGTGCAACCTATTTTCTAAGGTGAGGTTTGCTTAGCAAGCAAGTGCTAAGGGTGTATTGCTGTGTTGTACATTCATTAACCCTTGGTAGTTCAGGTTTTATGTTAGAATCTCACTTACAGATTCCTTGTATATATTCAATGGACTGCCAAGATTTCTACTGAACTTTCACTGTCAGCCTGGTTCAGTTGACAGCAACTTGCATTTATATAGCATCCTTTATGCTGGTAGTATTGTGGAGCATTTGGTAGCATTCTCGTCTTAAAGTCAGAAGGTTGTGGGTTCAAGCTCCACACCAGGACTCTGAATTCATAGGGGGAGCACTGCAACATCAGAGATGCCACCCTTCGGATGAGACGTTAAACCGAGATCCTGTCTGGATGTTAAAGATCCCACCAACTACTTGAAAAGAGAAGGGAATTTCTCCCATTATCCCAGCCAACAATCCACCAGTAAAATTGGTCATTCACTTCATGGCTGTTTGTGAGATATTGCCGTGCACAAACTGAATACCGCATTCGCCCACAAAACACCACCGTCAGTCACTCCACTTTACAGCATATCCTGTGAAGCGCTTTGAGAAGTGCCCCCAAAATGAAAGGCCCAATATCAATTGTAAGGATGATTTTATTATTTAGCCTAAAGGATCATACACTCATGGTTTCCAAAAGCAAAAACTCCGCAAAAGAAGGGGAATATATATTATTAATATCAATTTCAACCATGTAATTTCAGCTCAGCATGTTGTGCTAATGTACCTCAATCCAGTGCTTCTGTAGGTTGCAAAGCTGCTTGAACAATTGAAGGCATAGATAGAAGAATGCCATGTGAAATCGTTTAATGCTTTGATTTATGAAAAAGGATTGAGACCAATAATTTTGTTCTTTGTTAAAATCTTTCTGCTTTACATTCTCTACATCTGCAAATGACATCTATCGCCTTTCATATTACAGCTGGAGCTCTGCCACATTTGCCTTTTGTCATCATAGTCATCATCCTCTTGCAATAAAATAATGATAATGAACCTCAGTAGGACTCTTATGCATTACATTGGACACCAACCGTATATATTTCTGAATGACTCTCTTCACTGCCAAAGTGTATTACCATTGTTATTATGTTAACCAGAGTGGTTATAACTGGTTAGTTACGAAGCAGCAATATTTCAGCAAGTTAGTTGTGATTCATGCTGCTCTACTTCAAAAAGCTACTTACTTTCCCACCATCTTCATGATATTCCTTTTCATCCACATCCAGCAGCCTGGCAAGTCCAAAGTCTGTAATCTTTACGTGCTGTGGTGTCTTCACTAGAACATTGCGGGCTGCCAGGTCCCGATGAACCAATCTGCGTTCCTCCAGATAGCCCATTCCCTGTAATACAGAAGCACATTTGTAATATAGGATTTTATGTCTATGTTGACTCCCCCACCAAGATATTAAATTTCTCTCTGTTGTTCTCCTCAAGTTAAATGTCATGGGTTGTTCTGTGCTATGTTGTTGAAATGGCTCCTGCTGAGACACACACCTCCTGCAGTCAAAAGGTCAACCAGACATACTCCTGAGCTTCTAATTCAGGTCTTGGTCTGGTTCCAAAGGCTGGACCAGATAGCAGCTGTTGAGGACTCTGTCTCCCTCATTTTCTTTCTTGTGCATTGGAAAACATCCATCGGGCAAAGGTGTCAGAGAATGAGGCTGAGGTGGAACGACAGCAAATTGGGGAGTTGAACCTCAACCCTTCCTTTCCATGACACCACATGTTAGTGAGCCACATTGGGGGGGCCAGGGGGAGAAGAGAGAATCACCTATTTTACCTGACTTGCACACACACACACCTTGTTCTATGGATTGCGATTGAGAATGTAAACTCTGTACAATTGGAATTGCTGAGGATCAGCTAAATCAGCACAGACCAGGATTTGAACCTGAAACCTTCTGATTTGATCAGTACCACATTCACGTCAGGCCAATGTTACCTGTCATTTTCATTTTACATAAGGTCATTAACAGTATAGGTCTGAAACATTAAATATTAATCTAAAGTGAACTGTACATCCAGGTTACCAATGACCATTACAGAAACGAATGCAGAGTTTGAGAGTTTGCGACATCCTGAACATTTTAATGACTTAACAGGCTTTGTAGGTGTCAGCACTAAGCTATGATATCAGATCATGAAAGAGCAGGTAGAGGCAGTGGGCTTCTTCTGGGTGAATGTGGGGGAAAGGGAGGAGGGAGAGATGGAGACAAAGGAGTGTAGGGTGGGGTTGTGGTAGCAGCCATGGTAAGAGGAGAAGATGATGAAGGAGCCATGGGGCCGGGTAGGGGTTGGGAGGAGGAGGCAGCCAGGCGGATGTCCCTATGAAGTACACTGAGATGTCCTCCCGATGTGAAAAACGTTATATCAAATGCGAGGTTCATTATCACTATTTTATTACAAGAGAATGATGACGTTGTCACACAAAATTCAAAAAGAATTGGAAAACAAGCAGGCAAATATAGCTGGATCAGTTAGAAGCAGTTTAGGAAATAGATTAGAATAATTTTAAATAGAGCTAAGATTTTTTTAAAAAGGTAATTTTGTAACATGGATGATGATAAAATAAATAAATAAATACTCTATATAAAGATTTCAGTTTATCTGAGGGATTTCAGTATACTATTTCTTTAAGCAAACTACTGGAAATGTTCTAGCTCAAACATACACCTTGTATTTCACATATGTTTAATCTACATTTAACTCATTCTGGACAAAGGGGAGACAGAGACAGACAGAGGGAAAGAAAAGAGAAACTAAACTGGACGTAGAGACAGTGCTTTGATTGCTGAACATGATATGTTTCATTTCTAAATGCACATCTAATGACCTGAAGGTATTAAATGCACCATGGAAAACCCATAATGATAATTAATGATAATGTTTCTATCTGCATAACTTCAGAGCGCAGTCAATTAGTATTCACAGCAGGAATAGATTGTGCAAGGCTGTATAGAGCAGATTTAGGATTCTAACATTTTTAACACTTTAAACACAGAAATGACAGAGATGAATGGTGAAATTCTATGTATGCACAGAACCCGGTTTTAGAACAAAAAATAATTATTTGGGCAGCAATGTTCAGAAATGGATCTCTTCACTGATAATCTTTATGAACACAAAACTATTTCCCAGTGACTGACAACAATATTCATTATTAGCTTACATTGCGTACGGGTCATTGAAAGCATGGGAGACATTGTGAAATAAACTATAATAATAATAATAACAATCCTTGCATTTGTTATCACCTCTGATGCCAAGTGTGAAGAGGTCCTGGACTTCTTTATCTCCAAGATAGATAACATTCGCCTGGCTGTTTCCTCTTCCTCCCACCTATGTGGTCTACCACCACACCCCCCACCCGCCATGCCTCCTTCATCACCCTCTCCTCCGACCACAGTGCCCATCCTACACTACTTTGCCCCCATCTCTCCTCCATTTCCCCCACCATCACCCAGATGAAGCCCACCACAAGCTACCTCAACCTCCTCCCCACCCAGCTTCTGGTCACTCAACTCCCCCTCCTCTGCCCACTGCTGGCTGACACAATCAACCAGTCCCTCTCCTCAGGTTCTGACCCACTCCCCCTCAAAACTGCTGTCTTCACTCCTCTTCAGACCCATCTCAAACCTGCCCTTCTGGCCAAGGTTTTGTAACATGTCATTGCAAATCAACTTCGCTCACACTCTCCCTCTACTCCCGACTCAAACTCCTCCAGTCTGGTTTCCGCCCTGCCCACAGCACAGAGACAGCGCTCATCAAAGTAATAAATGACGTCCTCTCTCTCTGTTACTAGGACTCCCTCTGCCTACTCGTTCTCCTGGACCACGCCGCTGGATTCAACACAGTCAATCACGCCATCTTCCTCCACTGCCTCTCCTCCCTCATCCACCTTAGTGGCACCGTCAGATCCAGCACATTGCCTGCCTCCGTCTTCGAGTCCTACTTAACAAACCAGCAACAATACATCTCAGCAAATGATTTTTCCTCCCACCCTTGGAGCCCTCCGGTATACCTGCGGGATACTCCAAGCCTCCATCCTTGCCCCCTTCTTTTCCTTAGCTACATGGTCACTCTCAGTGATGTTACCTGCAGACACGGTATCAGCTTCCACATGTATGCGGATGACACCCAAATCTACTTCTCCTCCTCCAGCTGTGAATCCCAGTCCACTCATGTTTTGACAGCTTGTTTGATGGACGTCAAGGCCTGGATGAGTGCAAATTTGCTGCAGCTGAATATCGGCAAGACAGAAGCCATAATCTTTGGCTCCCGTGAACATCTTTTCTCCTGTGGGTCTGAACTCCTCAACCACCCCGGGCACTCCCTCAGACTCACCAAACCCATGAGCAACTTAGGCATCATGTTCGATCCCCAGCTTTCCTTTCTACCACACATCCGTCCCCTGACCAGGATCGCTTTTTTCCACATCCATCACATTGCCTGCCTCTGTCTGCACCTCACAACCACCTCAGCCGAAACCCTCGTCCACGCCTTCATTACTTCCCAGCCAGATTATTCCAATGCCCTCCTCTTTGGTTTCCCCAGCTCCACCATACACAAAATTCAATTAATTCAAACCTCCGCCGTCCTGATACTCACCCACACAAAACTCCATCACACCAGTTCTTGCCAGGCTCCACTGGCTCCCAATTACTGAACAGATCAATTTCAAGATTCTCTGTCTTGTCCAGCGCCTTGGGACGTCCTCCCGACGTGAAAGGCGTGCTATAAATGAAATTTTGTTGTTTTCAAATCCCTTCATGCTCTCGCAACGTTGTACTGATCTGATCTGCTTACCCCTCACTCCAACATTTCGATGCTCCGGCCTCCTGTTTTCCCCTGGTCCCCTCCATTCCACCATCGATGGCTGTGCCTTCAGCCATTACACCCCGAAACTGGAACTCTCTCCCTCAATCCAGCTTGACCCCTCCCGCTCCACTTTCAAATCCCGCCTAAAGACCTTCCTTTTTGATCATGCTCACGGTCAACTTTCCCCTTCCCTCTCCCCCTGGCTCGTGGTCAGATTCCGCCACTGTCAAACGCTCCGGGATGCTACCTCACATGAAGGGGGCTATATAAATGCAAGTTGTTGTTGTATCATGCCGTTCACATCTAGAGGATGTCTTAAAGCGCTTCACAAAATTTACTGTGAAATGCAATGATTGTATATTTGTAGACGAATGTGGCAGTCCAATTGCGTACAGCAGTGTCCCACAAACAGCATTACCATGAAACAAATGGCCAATTTTTATCTGGGGAATTTCTGGCCAGAACACTGGGAGAAACTCCCTGCTCTTTTCGACCTGCAGTACTAGCCATATCTTTTACTAGCCACTTCAGCTCCTCTCACTCTATTGCCCTTGAAGGATATGTTTGTTTTAAACATAGCAGTCACCTTACTGACCTTGAAATGATGACTCGTCCCACCAAGATTTAAACCCAGAACCTTTCAATCTCTTGTGTGGGGCATCAACCAATTGAACCACCAGAGATCAACTGTAGCATCATCACAAACTTGATCGTCACTAAACCAGAATCATCTAAACTGCATTCTAGATGCTACAAATTCATTTGGCTCCATTACTATAAATTATTGCTGCCTCGCAGATGCTGCTCAGACTTACTAGATCATTGCCTGTCATTCTAATTGCCTTGTGAGCAAAAATACAACTAGCTTTGGGCAAACTGGGTCACTAGAATACCATTACCAAACAGAAAGACACGAATGAGCAGAGTAAAACACGTCACTATTAGAGATTTAAAATGCAACTATTTATGCCAGCAGAAGGGGTAGGGTAGAAACAGACAACTCACAGGTACTGGGAATTTCGTTTCTACACTCACCCAAATATTAGCTTCATGTTTTAAGGAGATTCATCACTAACCTCCCCACCCTCTCCCCACCCTCACGCCGAGAGATATTGGGTGTTTTCCCCCCATTGTTTTTCTCAAATTACTTTTTCTATTAAACTGAATTTTCCAACTCAAAACTGCTGTCATGACCCGTCTCAGTCTCCTACCATCACTTCCTGCCCTGATCTTTCCAAACTCTCTCTCCCTCTCTCTTTCTGTAAAGCTCAACCCCTACTCTCTGCACTTTCTTTCTCTTACTATCCGTCTCCCTATAATCCAGAACTGTGCCTTATGCTCTTATTGTTTCCCTTGTTAAAATACCTACCCTTGACCTCTCTATCTTCTCAAATTCATATCTTAACTCTAACTTGTACTCTCTTTTCAGGGTACTAGGTTCTTTCCAGGGCCGAGACCCTCATCCATGCATTCATAACATCCAGGCTCGATTATGGAAACTCCTTGCTTATCGGCCTCCCCAACTCCGCTCTCCATAGGTTGCAGATCATCCAGAACTCTGCAGCCCGTGTCCTCTTCCGCACCAGGTTCCGAGACCCTATCACTCCCATCCTCGCCCGACTCCACTGACCCCATCACATAGAGGATACAGTTCAAGATCCTAGTCCACACCTTCAAAGCCTTCCATAACTTTGCTCCCCCCTACCTCTGCGACCTCCTAACCCCTACCAACCTGCCTGCTACCTCTGCTCAGTGGGCTCCAGCTTGCTTCAAGTCCCCCACCGTTTGTCGGATGGGCCTTCAGTAACTCTGCCCCCACCCTCTGGAACTCCATCCGCCTTGCCCCCTCCCTTGCCTCCCACAAGAACCAACTCAATACCCTCCTCTTCGACCGTGCCTTTGATCACCATCCTTCCCCCCTGCCATCCACCCCCACTGATCCCGCCCCCTAGCTTGGGTCTGAAACATTGATTGTCCAGCACCTTAGAACGTCCTGCTGATGTGAAAGACGCTATACAAATATAATGTTGGTGTTGTACTAATTTTTTTTCAGCTGATTGTCTGACACATGTGGAAACCCATCACCATGCTTAAGTGTATCCAATCCAAACAGAGTTCCATGCATCCCAGCTCTACATGGAAACTCCCATGTATCGCATTGGGTACTAATGGAAAGCATTATTAACACCCATCTTTGTGCTCGCATCGTTCACCATTCACTGTGGAGCCCACTCTTCGCTGGTCAGGTTTGTATCCACCGACAGCACTGAGGTGAATGGAAAAGTCATACATGTAACAGAGGGTGCTCTTCCGAGTTTCTATAGTTAAAGTAAATGTCTATTCATTTTTAATTGGAACATGATCCAAAACTTTATAAAGAGAAGAATCTTTAGATTTGTACCATTCAGTACTCTCTTATTCCACAGTTTTAGATGTAGAAGTATTTGATTCTGGCAGTCCTAAGTGCACTCTTTATGTTGTATCCACCCTTTAAGTGGCAAATTGTTCTGCAAACTCCGAAATAAGAATACAGTTTTATAGGAAACATGTGTAATTCATAGAAACATATCACTGGAACTCCTCTGCCTTATGCTTCTGCGTTAACAAATCGTACTGTATATTTCTGTGCAAAGTTAAATGAGTGCTGAATAAAATTACCTTTGCGATCTGCACACACCAGTTGAGGAGATATTGGGAACCAATATGGTCTTTGTTTTCCCGGATATAGTCCAATAGACAGCCATAAGGCATGAGCTGGGTGACCAACTGCACAGTTGATGTGAGGCAAATTCCCAGCAAACGGCAAACATGGGGATGATCAACACTTGCCATCACATACGCTTCCTGAAAAGAAACAAAAACCTTAAAGTTAGAGCTAGGCTGGTTCAAAGTAAATTCAACAAAACCATTTCTTTGTGCAGAGGATTGGTGAGAAGATGGAATGACCTGCCCTAAAGGCCAAAGCATAATCAAATGAAGTGTTGATCGGGTGTCATGTACTTGTGAAGTAAACGTTTCATGGAAATTTGAAGGCAAAACAGGGAAATGGGTTTCGAAAGATAAAGAGCTGAACCAAAAAGAATGTAATGGTTCACTCATTCCTATTTTTGAATAATCCTGTTCCTATTTTCTTAAACTATGGTCATCAACAAAGATCTTCACGTTTCTTAACCAATGTCTTAATGTTAAACTTAAGGGGAAAATTATGTGACTTTCCAACAGCTGAGTAAGTTAATCACAGGTTTGGGCTTTATTCTGTGCTGAATTTGTTGATAGTGAGGAGGTGGGTGGGGTGGTGGAGGGCTACAACAGGCCAATGGAGACAATCTAGTGATTTCTGCTGGAAAGAGCAGGGGCCTGAAATCTCATGGTTTTACCATGAGACTTTTACCTTAATGTATAAGATTGTGCAGAATTTTGGAAGATTCTTAAATCCTGCCTTATTGGAAGTTAGCTTGAAAAGGAACTCGGCTGGGAGACGATCCGTTGATTACAGCTGAGATTTTGTGAGGCAAAAGTATTTTATGTTCTGAGACTCTCGTTTCAAACGTTTGTGCCATTTATGTCTTTGTTTTCCCTGCTGACTTTTTGTAAACTCAAAGGCTATTCCACTCAATAAATACCTGCTTCGTGTCCCCTGCCCAATCTACCTCACCATTGGCGTGTGAGCTTTCAGCCATTCTGGACCTGCCCTGTAGAATTCCATTCTGGAGACCCTCTGCCTTGTTCCCTTCCTCCCTGCCTTCAAAACCTGCCTTAAGATCTATCATTTCGACTGTACTTTTGGTCACTTTACTTCCCTCTCAGCTTCTCAATCCACCACATCTCATGCTCCCTGTCAGCTGTGTGAATCACCTTGGGACGTCCTCCCAAAGTGAAATATGCTACATAAATGTAAATTGTTGTTCACACCCATTTAGGTGCCTATAGAACAGTCGTCACAAGAACCACTGCCTTGAGAGGAGTGATGTCCTCCCGACGTGAAAGGCACGATACAAATGTAATTTTGTTGTTGTTCTTGTTGTAAGGGGGAAAAAACTGAAGGAAAATTGAGGATAAAAGAGTAAACAAGATAATAATAATCCTTCTGACGTAGGCTCGTGGACCCGAAATGTTGACTCACTTTCCTTTCTCTATAGATACTGCCTAACCTGCTGAGTTTTCCCAGCTCTCTCTGTTTTGTTTCAGATTCCAGCATCTGCAGTATTTTATGTTTTGATAATAATAATCCTTGCATTTGATATAACGCCTTATCACGTCTTCGAGACATCTTAAAGCGTTTCACAGAATATAGTGTAAAGTGTATTGACTGTATATTTTCTGGACGAAATGAGCCGCCAATTGTGCACAGCAGTGTCCCACAAACAGTTGTGGATTGAGTGACCAATTTTTTTTTTGAAGGACTTATCACCCCTGGAAACGCGATCCGACAATCGATTAAAAACTGGGTTGTTACTTACTGCTAGGTGAACAGAAAAGTGTGGATTAAGGAAACTTGCCTAACGTTTCGCCCTGCCTGGGAATCAAACCTAGGTCCTCTCGCTTGCGAGATAAGTGCTCTAACCAATATGCTACAGGACTCCACAGAGGATTGTGGGTCTCACACTACCAGCAATTTGCACAGAATACCATCAAATCAAATTATAAAACGTTTGGATATGGAGCAAAAAATTATAACTCTGCTCCATTACAATGAAATAATTTGCTAAAAAACATAGAGAATGCTAATGAAAGCTCAACCACTTCAAGTAATGCACACTCAATGGATTTTATAATCAATTTCATGCATATCAACTCAAATTAATGTGACAATGGATCCTAATTAATATCGACTTCAATAAATCTTTTGTTTTTTTCTGGAAACCTCCATAAATGCTAAACGTTACTTGCAGGCATCTGTTTGTGATCGTATTTCTTTTTCTGCAATCACCTATTGAAGAGTTAAAGTGACCTTGTTGAATTATGTCTGAAAATGCCTGGAACACTTCAGGGAATTGCTCTGCGATAATGAATTCTTTGACAAGCCATTGGCAGTATTATGAAGATTATAAGAACATATGTGTCTCTTCACTTGTGATAATCTACTTGTCTACATATAAATGAATATTAATAACTCCCTGTGGGCCCGTGTGACTTTGGTGCCTTAGATAAAGTATCACTTTACTGTAAAAGCCAGTTACCATCACTTACCTCTATCACAAACTAAACCTGCAGCTTTTCTAAATGTCAGCATTGACCTTTACAGCAACAGAATATATTTTAAAGATTCCTATTAAGTAAAAAGATGCCTAAGCTAATGACATCTAAGTTAATAATGACCCAAAAGTAGAGGTGCAAGCACAAATTAACTTGAGTGATTGATAGTGAGAAAGTGCAGATGTACTTTCATACATAATAATGACAATCCTTTGAGATAGCACCTTATCACATCACCCAGACATCTCAAAGCAAAGTTTGTAGGCAAACACTACAACCAATTTGCGTCTCGGAATGCCACACTAACAGCCAAGAAGTGAGGGGATTTGGGGAATTTTCAGTCAGGACAGTGAGTGAAACTCTTTTTGAATAGTGGGAATTTGAACATCACCTGAACAGGCAGACAGGCCCAGTTTAACTTCTCATCCGAAAGATGGCACATCTGACAATGCAGTATTGCACTGGAATGTCAACCCAGTCTATGAATTCAAGTCTCGATGTGGGGCTTGAACCCACAACCTTCTAACTCAGATTTGACAGTGCTACCAACTGAGCCGGGCTAACACCTATACCTTTTACAATTAAAAGTACAATTTTGGAGGATTGGATTTCTATTTAGTACTTTTCCTGAAACCAGTGTGAAGCTGACAAGGAAATGGTTTAAAACTCTTACAAAAATACAAAGTCAGCGATTATAAATAGTTCCATAGGACTTTACAGTGAGGAAATTTTAGATTCTTGGTAAATCTTATGCTACATCCAGTAATCTCAATGTGCTACTTGACCAGTAGTAATTGTAGTGAAGAAGTACAATACTTCAGTCACACAGTAACAGTTCAAACATCAATGTCACAAGCCTGCCTCTAAAACAGATTCTATTACACCAATGACAACTTGCATTTATATAGTGTCCATTTGTGTCTCGGTGCGCTCATTTTTATAAGTAACAGCTAAGGCTTTCTTTCGGTTAAATTCCTTAGTCCAATACCATGAAGAAATATCTTCAAAGACTGCTTTTCATTGATGATTTTTACAAGCTCTGTATTTCACAAGCTGTTTGGAAATGTACTAAATGCAGACCTTGCAAGTGCTGCAAAGTTTGAAACCATGAAGATTTTAGAGTTCATTAATCTCAGCAGCTTTAGGAGACCATCTCCCTCCTTCCCATTTCGACATTTGTCCCTGTGAACAGTACACATTAATTACCAACTTGTTAAAAAGAATATATATAGTCTTGGACTTCTTGGAGCGGAATTAGAATGTTGGAAATGGTCACAAATCGGATAACATCACCCACCGGGCCGATGCACCTGATGAAATACGCTGCCTTACATGAGAGACATTATATTATACAAGTTGTTATTGAGGGCCATCTGTGATCTGTTTAATCTTTTCACATTTAAATGATGGGCAGAACTAGATTTCTAGTCACTCTGGTGTAGGGCCTGAGTCTTGGACAATGAAAGAAGGATAGGTGAGGAAGGCAGTAATATTGCTCACACAATATAACTATACTGTACTGCTTACAGTATTGACTTACATCAAGAATTTCTTTGTTGGCTTTGGGAGACGTTGCTTCTCTCAACACTTTGATGGCAACAGGAATTTTGACATTTTCTCCCTCTGGATTCCACAGGCCCTGCAAAGACAACAGCGTTCAATAAATGATCAGAAATCTCTAAACTATTCAACAATATCATTAGATTTATTATTAATAGTAGTAGTTTCATTTGACATGGTACCGTATCATGTCATCAAGATGTCTCAAAGCATTCATATTTTACTGTGAAATGCACACAACAATGTTCCACACAAACTGCCATGAGATAAATAAATAATTTTATTCAGGGGATTGTTGGCTAGGACACTGGGAGATACTCCCTTTTTTTTAAATAGTGTCATGGGATCCTTAACATCCATCTGACAGCCAAACAGGACCTCGGTTCAACTCATATGAAGGACTGCACTTCTGGCAACATGTGACTCCCTCAGCACTGCATTGGATTGTCAGCCTAGACTGTGAGCTGAAAACCCCTGCGAGGCTTGTCAATTAAGTAGTCAATTCATTCTACATTTTACAGTTTAATTCTTGTGTAAGATGACACCATTTAATGGTGTCAAACACAGACTTCAAGATATTTAACAGGTTCAAATCAGATTTTGTACTTTGCCCCATGCAAAATGACCAGGGAAAACATCTCTCAAATATTCCCATGTACAGGGGGTATGCATGGAACTCTGATTTGGATAATCTTAAACACGGTAATGGGTTTCCGCTGTTAAATGGTTTTGAATGTGGATCAATGAAAAGTAATGCACATTAGTACAGGAAGTGTAGATATTAGATGGATATTACAAAAAAGGAAAGTGGGGAGGAGAATGAGTTTGATTATTGACCCATTTAATGAAATCCAATCATTCTGAAACTATCACAACAATGAAGTCCTAGGGTTTATTTCAAGCCCTTTTGATCTTAAGATAAAACATGAAACATATGAGTCATTATTAAGATTGCATTTTAATTATTGTGTGCAATGTAGGTATCAGGGTCTAGTTTGTGATTATTTAGAAACTGGATTAAATAACTTTAATTGGAACTTCTGTTTTTTGAGTCTGAAAATCGGATTCTGTTTGTTTTATGAAATTTGCAAAATGAAGAATTGGGAATCCTGGAAAGACCGGCAGATAAAGGCAACATGACCCAAAATAATATTTAAATGTTTATTTTAGATGGTGATTTTAGTAATTTTATGTCTCATAGTTTTACCAATTTTTTTGAAATCAGAATGAGCAGAGACATTCTTCAGGTCCTGTACAAATCTCACTCTGAGGTAATGTATATTGACATATATGTACCTGACACCAGTTTCACACTAACTCTCTTGGTTCAACGCTGAACCTGGCACGGGCACTCACAAAAAGTAACCAGGAGCATTCCGCCCCTTGGTATGCAAATATTTTGAAACTTGCAGAAACAGTATTCTTAACACTCATTGTGGCTGCACTGATATAAGGGCTGCTCTACTGGATAACTGAAGTTTCAAATTTATAGAAAACGTGTTTTAACTTACAACTACATTAAGAGCACGAAAATAGTTAGGGATGAGCAAATATTATTCAGCTCAAAGAAATTCATCATAGCAGCAATTGTGTGTTACCTTCAGTATATAAGGGAAGGCTTTCTATTATGATCACAGCCAGCCTTAATTTGAGCATTTTCTTTGACTAGCTAATGTTAAATGGCCAATAATAATAATAATCATTGCATTTGATATAGTGCCTCATCACATCGTTGAGAAGTCCCAAAGTGCTTCACAGAATATACTGTAAAGTGAATTGACTGTGTATTTTTTGGAAAAACACGGTAGCCAATTGTGCACAGCAGTGTCCCCTAAAACAGTTGTGACCAAATAATTTTTATTATTTTTTGAAGCATTATTACCAAATTTGACCCCTGGAAAACAAGCCACCAGCCAACTAACAACCGGGTTCCTACTTACTGTTGAACAGAGTTGTGTGGAGTAATGAAACTCGACTACGGTTTCAGTACTGAAACAATGCAACAGTCTATCTGGACCATAAAAAAGGGTTGAAACAACAGCATTGTGTTGAATACCTTTCATTCCCTAACATCTTGGTATTAATCCAGTCCTAACAAATGGATGAATGCTTTTTTCTGAGGAATGTTGTTGGAAGCAGTGTGTGTGGTTTCCATGTAATCTCTAGATACAGGTACTGGAAGGAAGTCACTGTCCATTGATATATGCTCCATTTATACTGGCCAAAAGAAACTAGAGTTCTGAACTTCAACACTCAATCCAGCTGCCAGTAAACATAGCACGAGGAAGGCTGGTAGTGATCCAGTCGAGATTCTGGAAGAATTAACTCAGCAGACTTCTAGGGCAGATGGTACACTGGATTTACTGTTTCACCAGCATTTTATTACCAACTTAGAAGTGAACGAACATTTGGGTCCTACTTAATTTGTGTAGTTAGATTGGATTTTGCAATAAGATTAAAAATATCACAGATGTGTAAGACATTAGCCGAACAAATTGGAGAACTATGAGAAACTCCTTAGGGAGGATTAATGAGAAAACGGGAATAGAATAACACATAAAATAGTTTGTGGAAAGGAAGTACAGCCATATGGGAAACAAATAAAAACCTTGTATGGTCTTTTGTTTTTGTCAGCCGTGTGTCTGAGAGTGCGGAAGCCCAACCCTGTGCTAAAGAGGATCCAAACCAGACTGAGAATCCCATATATGAATGCCACCTACGCATGGGCAATTTTCCTTGCTTAGTCAAAACTGCAATAGCTGTATATTAAATATGAATTTTTCAGATGTTATGGAGATAACCCCTCCAACACCATTCTCAATGTCTCTGCCGTGATGCTGGGTCACACATTTGACTGTTAGCTTGTAGCTTTGAACTTCCAATAATAGAACCTTGGCCACATCCTGTGGGAGAAAACCTCAAGACCCAGACCAAGACTTCATGGACGTCAGTGCTGAAAACAGTGAGCGTGTCTATGGGGGGAAGGGGGTTCTAATGGCTAGTTATTTCTAAATTGAAATTGCATTAAACAGTGCTCATTGCACATTTGTGCATCACAAAGTTGAAAAGTCTGATGATATTCAATATTAAAATGATTGTGACATATGTTAGCTTATTCATCACCGAACTTGTCAAAATTCATCAACTATTCCTATTGAACGGGTGATCATTTCTGACGATCTAAATACTGAGCTGCAGTGTTTGCAAATGAATGATCGGCTGCAGAAGAAGAAGCTAAAAACTGCTCTAGTTAAGAATAATCTTTACATTTGATGCAACGCTTTCACACTGGGAGGATGTCTCAAAGCACTTCATAGGTTATACTGTAAAGTGTTACGGCTGTACTCTCTAGGCAAATGAAGCACCCAGTTTGAAGGTTAATGTCCAATTAATGTCCCACAAAGAGCCACAAAGTGAATGACCAATTTTATTTGAGGGGATTGATGGACAGGACATCAGGAGAAACTTGGTTCTCTTTTCTAAGTAGTGCCAAAAATCTTCAACATCCATCTGAACAGGCTAGATAGGACCTCATGCTATCATCTCATCCAAAGGACCAGACCTCCAACAATGCAGCACACCCTCAGTGCTGCTCTGGAGTGTCAGCCAAGATTATGAGCTTGAACCCACTACCTTCTGACACAGAGGCAACTGTGCTTCAGGCTGAACAAGACACATAATCCATCACATTATTAGTATTAAAGAATATTGTTAATAAGCAGCTTCTTAAATTGAACCTTTATTCTACTAAAGCTGCAGTATTTTAATGCAGTTTACCTTGTACACAGTGCCAAAAGCTCCAGAACCAAGCACTTTAACCTTCTTAAACTCGGTCTCTTTAAGAATCCTCAGTAGGGCCTGATTTGGAGCAGCTCCACTTGGGGTTAGAGGCTCCACCAGCTGTGTCAAGAACAAAACCTCATTAGGTCAGATAAAATGTATTTACTCAAAACTACATTCCCCACTCTGACCATGCTGGGGTAGGGGGGGGGAGGAGGAGTCTGTCTCAAGTGCAATATTTGCAAACTGTATCGGTTATGTCATTTACCTCCCGTTCTTGTAGTAGACGCCGTAATGTGCGCTTCTTTCGGATGTGTCGTCTACGCATGCACACCGAAATCACTAGAGCCACCATGACTACAGCAAGAAGACCGCCAACTATTCCAGCAGCAATGGATGGAATGCGTGAACTGGAGAGGAATACAATTCAGTGGATGACTTAACTTTTCAGAATAATTCCCCCTCCCCTCCTTCAGTTTTGATCGAGAGCCTTTTGCATTCACTTGCATTCTATTAAAATAGGGAGGCAACATGAAATAACAGTCCTTATTACTGGCAACTACTAATAGATGACACATCTGCTACAAAATTCATATACTGGTTGAAATACTTTACCTAGAATAGTTATTGCAGCCCTCAAGGTCTGGTCCAGTACACCTGAAATGTAATTGATGTAATTGATGAGAACAAAAATTATTGGAAACTTTTTCAGACTTCACTGCACTTCAATTCCCACTGGAGTTATTCCGTTAATTAAAAGAGTTAAATAAAATCTAACAAGAACACAGTTATTTTGTCCCCACTGGTGCTACACAAAATTGTAGGACAGAAAATAGCTTTCTTCATCCAAACCAATCTTGCGATCTAATCCCAACATTCAGGAAAGTAAAACCCCATTGGGTGTTCTAATATGTAGTTTGTGAAAGAGTGTTTAAAATGCATGTACCTTCTTACTGTATCTCTCACTGACCTGCTGGAACTCCGATTAGACACAATCTCATTTTTGACAAACCTGAAGTCAGATTCTAGCCAAAGGCCTGGGATTCCAGTGAAACACACCAGGTACAGGCAGGTTCTACATTTAGAAACCCTTCTACAAATTAACCACATTTTAGAACCACAGTAGGAAGATACTGGCAAATTTCATGCAACCAATTTAATAGTTATATTGTTATGCAGAAATAAACCTTGCTTACCCTTGGCTGCAATTTAAATGACAGGTTTGACAGTTCTTATTTTCATCTGCGTACTTCCAGACAACAGTGTTGTTTTCTCCTAAGATTCCTGTAGGACAACTCTTTACACAACGTGGACCATCTTTAAAATTTGCACATACTTTACAGCGTTCGTTGCCCTGGATAGAAAACATTTTGGAATAAGTGTAAGAGGAAAAGGATATTTTCTGTTGGTCCAATCCATTAAATTCTAATGAATCCAACTCAAACATAAAACAAATTACAACTACTGTTTTTTGTATACTGCTAGAATCATAATAGATGTTGTGAATGGGTTAACTTTTAAGTTAAGTGTGGGGGGCAACTGGACTGACAGTCATGGGATAGGACACATCTGGTTTTCTCTGTTTTTGAAAGAATAACAGGACAGCTTTGGAAAAGGGCAGGGGCTCACCTCTTATCAGTAAATGACAACACGCCCACAGAGATAACGGTCCAAGGTACCGGTCGACACAGGATCTCGACTTAGCAATAAGTCGCTAGATTCTGACAGGACCTGCCAAGCGACAGAAGGCAACCCTCAAGAATAGCAACTCATGAGCAAGTTGCTTAAACTAGAGGACCTTGGTACCATCCCGGGATACTGATAAGAAATAACCAGTCACTTAAAAGCAATGTACTAATGATCCCACACCACAAAATAATGAGCACCAGATACAGTCCTAAACTGATCAATCCTCTATCTTAGACAATTAGATCAGATAACGGGGGTCTTGAGGACAATGTGTATGTGCGCTGAGGCACGTACACCCCATGAGGTGTTCACGTGAACCCAGCATGATTTTGACCGGGTGATCTAATGTCCGCACCATGATTGAACGAACATCGGTATAAGAGTTCCGATAACTTTGTTTACGGGGCCGTCCCGGGTCGCGGAGACAAGGATACGGGAGATGGGGCCGTCCCGGGTCGCGGAGACAAGGATACGGGAGATGGGGCCGTCCCGGGTCGCGGAGACAAGGATACGGGAGATGGGGCCGTCCCGGGTCGCGGAGACAAGGATACGGGAGATGGGGCCGTCCCGGGTCGCGGAGACAAGGATACGGGAGATGGGGCCGTCCCGGGTCGCGGAGACAAGGATACGGGAGATGGGGCCGTCCCGGGCTGTGGAGACAAGGGTACGGGAGATGGGGCCGTCCCGGGTCGCGGAGACAAGGATACGGGAGATGGGGCCGTCCCGGGTCGCGGAGACAAGGATACGGGAGATGGGGCCGTCCCGGGTCGCGGAGACAAGGATACGGGAGATGGGGCCGTCCCGGGTCGCGGAGACAAGGATACGGGAGATGGGGCCGTTCCGGACAAGGGTAAGGGAGATGGAAGACTGAGAGCTGGAAACACTAAGACTGAGGATATCAGATGGAAGATTGAAAGCTGTAAGCAAGAAGACTGAAAGCATGAAGAATCAAGCTTGTGTGCTGGAAAGACACAGTGTTGAACTCGAGATATTTACGGTGGTATTGTTCTGTTATAAGATCTGTTGATTGTACCGGCCTTTGGTCTGACCTATCGGGATATTGGGGAATAACGAACGAATAATAATAAAACAGTCAGATATCAGGTTGCAAACGGATTATGGCTATTTTATTTTCTAAGACTACGGTATGTTAGCACACATTGTACAGGTTTATTTACAGGAGTGATTTCAGTAAAGTATTTCAATATTTATTAGTAAATGAGCTTGCATTCATCAGCATGCATCACTTCCTTATATCACTGGCTCTTCGATTAAACTTACAGGACCAGTGCAGGTTTCAGACCCATTCTGTAGTTTACATTCTGGATCGCACTGAATACATCTTGATTTATCCAGAAATTGCCTGGTATCCCTTTATAAAAAAGACAAGAAAGGAGAATATAAGATTTTTTTATTGAACAAATATCCATGAGTCAGGAGGTTGTGGAGTCCTGTAGCTCAGTGGTTAGAGGACTTGCCTCGCAAGCGAGACACCTGGGTTCAATTCCAGGCAGGGCGAAACCTTGGGCAAGTTTCCTTACTCCACACACCTAATAATAATCCTTCCAAACCAAAACAATAATAAATTGGTCATTTTCAATCCACGACTGTTTGTGTAACACTGCTGTGCGCAATTGGCTGCCACATTTCACTCACAAATATACAGTCCATTCACTTTACAGCATATTCTGTGAAGCGCTTTGAGACGTCGAGAAGATGTGAAAAGCGCTATATCAAATGCAAGGATTATTATTATTATTGTTGTGGGTTCTCATGATGCGACTTTGAGCTCACAGTCTAGGCTGACACTCTAATACACTACCAAGCGCTGAAGAGTATTGTCAAAAGTATTGGCCTTCGGGTGAGACATTAAATGGAGATCTTTAAAGTCAGGTCAACTGTAAAATGGTGAGACTATGTGCTTTGTGGGTGAATATGGCAGCCAATTTGCACACAGAAATATCCCACAAACAGCCATAGAGTGAGTGACCAATGTTATTTGGGGGATTGTTGGCCAAGATGCTGGGGGGAAATTGCCTTCTCTTTTGAATATATACACACTATTAAACGCAGAGAAACTTAACAACAACAACAACATTACATTTGTAGAGCACCTTTCATGTCGGGAGGACATCCCAAAGTGCTGAATAGTCAGGTGTTGGGGCCCAAGAATGGGGGAGGGGTGGTGTAGGGGTGAGGAAAGGCAGAGAGGTGGGAGGGAGACCAAAGGCACGGTCGAAGAGAAGGGTCTTGAGACCGGCCTTGAAGGAAATAAGGGAAGAAGCGAGGAGAAGGGACCATGGGATGGAGTTCCAGAGTGTGGGGGCAGAGAGGCTGAAAGCCCGGCCATCGATGGCAGGGCAGGAGCAGGCCGGAGCCCGCTGAACAGAGGGAGTGGGCAGGTTGGTAGGGAGTCAGCAGGTCAGAGAAGTAGGAGGGGACAAGGCCATCGATGGCCTTAAAAAAAGACAACCTCCCTTATTTTATTATTATATTATTATTATTTCTGGGTATGAATAGGTGTTATTCAGAATGGAGCGATATAAATAGGGGTATACTCCAAGGGTCCACGTTGGGACCATTGTTTATCTCCATTTATATAAATTATGTGGATTCTGGTAATAAGGACCACAATTTTTACGTTTGCTGATGATTACAAACATAAGAAATATAGCTACATTGAATATGATTGTAAGCAATTGTAGGAGGATGTAGAAACACTAGTAGATTGGACAGTGAGATGGTAGATGAAATTTAATGCAGAAAAGTTATACATTTTGGAAGGACGAATAGGGAGAGGAACTATATGTTAAATGGCAAACTTTAAAGGGAGCAGAAGAAGATAGAGAGATCTAGAGGTTAACATGCATAAATCTTTAAAGGTGGGAAAGTAACTGGACAAAGCTATCAAGAAAGCTAATGGGATCTAAGGGGCAAAGAATATGAAACCAAACAATTGACACTTAACCTGTATAAAGTATTTGTTAGATTGTAGTTAGAACGCTGTGTCCAGAATGTTGTGTCAATCTCTCTTCAGAAAGGATATCAGAGCCATAAGGGTGCAGAGCAGATTTATTGGGATTACACCCGGAATGAGTGGTTTGATCTACGAGCAAAGACTAGAAGAATTGGACCTATTTTCATTGAAACAGGGAAGATTGAGGGGAGACCTGATGGAATTCTTTAAAATTATAACAGATTTTGATAAGAGTAGATAGGGAGAAATCAGTCACTAGAGGGCATCAATTTAAAGGATTGGGAGCAAAGGGGGAGATGACAAGATATTTTTTTACAAAACTAGTAAGTTGTTATGATATGGAATGTCCTGCTGGGTATGAATAGTCGAGGCAGGATCCACCTTAGCTTTCAAGAGGAAACTTGATAGATATCTAAAGAGGAACAACATGCAGGAGTATGGGGGAACAGCAAGTGGGACTCTTTCAAAGAGTCAGTATAGACACGTGGGCTGAAATGGTCTATGGTTTAAATTTCTATGATTTTAATAAAGTATAACAGTCTCTTTCTGGAAATGATAAGAGTTATATTAATAATAATAATCCTTGTATTTGATATAGCGCCTTATCACGTCTTCTAGAAGTCTCAAAACACTTCACAGAATATACTGTAAAGTGAAACAAAAACAGAAGTCATTGGGAACACTCAGCAGGTCAGGCAGCATCTATAGAGAAAGGAAAGTGAGTCAACATTTCGGGTCTACGACCTTTCGTCAGAAAATGGGTATGTTGGGAGGGAGAGGTTTTAAGGGCTAACAGAGGTGGGAGGCAGGGCAAGGAAGATAAAGGAGAAAATAGGGTAGAGGACAGGGGATGATGGGTTAAATAGGTGTTAATGATACAAAACAAAGGTGGGGGGAGGATTGTAACAAAACAGGGGAAAAGAGGTGTTAATAATGCAAAACAAAGAAGGGGAAAAATTGCAACAAAACAGGCAGACCAGAGAGATAAAAGTTGTGTCTGAGACCCAGATGATGTGGTAATGGTCACAGGAGAGGGGGAGGGGGAGCTGTTATGGTCTAAAATTGTTGAAATCAATATTGAGGCCAGAGGGCTGTAAGGTCTCCAGCAGATAAATGAGGTGCTGTTCCTCGAGCTTGTGCTGTGGCTCATTGGAACAGTGTAGGAGACCGTGAATGGAGAGGTCAGAGCGCGAGTGGGAGGGAGAGCTGAAGTGGCAAGAAACCGGAAGCTCAGGGTTGTGGACAGAATGGAGGTGTTCGGCTAATTGGTCACCCAAACTGCGTTTCGTCTCCCCAATGTAGAGGAGACCACATTGTGAGCAGTGAATGCAATAAACTACATTGGTGGTAGTGCACGGAAATCACTGTCACACTTGAAAACTGTGTTTGGGGCCCTGGACAGTGGAAGGAGGTGAAAGGGCAGGTATTGCATCTCCTGCGCTGGCATGGGAGGGTGCCGTGGGAGGAGAACAACTGTTAGTGGTGATGGAGGAATGAACCAGGGAGTCACGGAGGGAACAGTTCCTCTGGAATGCTGAAAGGGGAGGGGAGGGAAAGATATGTTTAGTGGCCCCATTTCTGATGAAGGGTAGTGGACCCGAAACATTGACTAATTTTCCTTTCTCCGTAGATGCTGCCTGACCTGCTGAGTGTTCCTCGCAACTTCTGCTTTTGTTTCAGATTTCCGGCATCTGCAGTGTTTTGCGTTTTGTTTATACTGTAAAGTAAATTAACTGTATATTTTGTGGGCGAAACACGGCAACGCACAGCAGGTCCTATAAACAGTTGTGGATTGAAGTGCCCAATTTATTATTATTTTTGAAAGAACTAGTATCCCCGGAAAAGCGATCCGCCAATCGTCTAACAAGCTAGTTCCTACTTACTGCTAGGTAAACAGAGGTGTGTGGAGTAAGGAACCTTGTCCAACATTTCTTCCTGCTGGGAATCAAACACAGGTCTCTCGCTTGTGAGGCAAGTGCTCTAACCACTGAGCTACAGAACTCCATTGTGCAGTATAGGAGAAGTATAGGAGATTGTGCAGCATAGGAGAAAAAAGTGCTACATGCATTTTGAGTGCTCTTGTGTCTAGGAATAAACCTTATATTTGACGAGAAGCCAATAGGGAGAAACTTAATGAAACAATTACGATGTTCTAATTTTTCCATGAGCTGTAGTCCAGCCGGTCAGTATCAAAGTCTAAGATCGAAGTCTGGGAAATAAAGAGACTCCAGTGGAACTTAAAACCACACTGCTTTTCAGTGAGATACTGAGATGCCAATCTCTTTATAGTGAATTTAGATTTGTAGTGATTATCTGAAGCATTTTGGGGAATACCAGAAGTCAAACACAATGATTCCCTTTGTGAATATCACAATGACACGATTCCAATCAGATTTTCACCCAGTAACAGGAATACTATACATGGAGCTTGAATATATACTTACCTTTTAGCATGAACCCCAGAAGCCACAACAGAAGTAATCTTGCACAACACTACGTGAAGAGATTTATTCCATAAAGAATCATACAGTTTAATTGTATGAAGCGTAGTTGACGCACTTTCATTTGGCACCAGAGTGCAGTGCTGGAGGGAGTCAATGAACTGCCACATAAGCTGTTGTCATAGTGACTCCATGGCTATGGTATGCCAGAAAGCAGATGCAATGTGTCACTGTTAATTTTGGGTCAACACATCCTTCTGGGCCTAGTATTGGCAAGCTTAAATGGCCACTTTTTGTGAGCATGAATGCCTTTCGCACCAATCTAAAGGACAATAATATTAATGAAGCCTAAAACTCAATATTCATTACCAAAGTTGATATTTTATCAAAGTTGGTTATTTTCAGAGGCAGCAGTTTGTCCAATTTATGCAAACAGGCTTAAAGTAAATGAATTACTGCACATTTTCAAAGGTTTGATCATCGGTTAAAAAATTGCTCGTAACAAAATGGTCATGACTCCAGACTCCAGCAAGAAGTCCTGCAGACACTAAGATGGAAAAATAGCGATTGTCTAGAAATACATAAGAGTATTATGTACATTTCATTCATAGCACTTACTCTACAATCCCCCATACTGTGTACATTTAGATATAGTTCATTGGCTTCTAGGTATAATTCACTGGCTAAAGTATAATAATAATAATAATCCTTGCATTTCATCACGCTTTATCACGTAGTTGATACATCTGAAAGTGCTTCACAGGGTTTATGGTAAAGTGTAGTGACTGTGTATTTTGTGGGCAATTTTTTAAACAATTTTGTGTATTTCTTGGCAACAATACCTATATTGTTTCCAATCATGAAAGCCAATTGCTTAGTTAATTCTTCCAACTCTTACTTACCCTTCAGAAACATTGCACTTCTCAACGCACTCCTTTTCATGGACAAAATTACGACAGGAAAAGCACTGGGAGGGCCCAGGACCCCAGCAGCCATTATTGGAGCACTGCTCGTGGCAAACTTTATTTTCAGCAACTGGAGTGAGCAGACACAAAAGCGTATTAAATAGCAGCAGAAATCATGAGGCTCATTTAAATTTTTAAAAATCATGTCTAACTAAGTTTACCAGTCTTTGTAACGCAAGCAGAGCAAATTGCTTCCCTCTACAACCACAACAACAACAAAATTACATTTATAGAGCACCTTTCACGTCGGGAGGATGTCCCAAAGCACTGAACAGTCAGGTGTCGGGGCCCGAGCATGGGGGAGGGGTGGTGTAGGGTTGAGACCGGCCTTGAAGGAGGCAAGGGAGGAAGCGAGGAGAAGGGACTGTGGGATGGAGTTCCAGAGTGTGGGGGCAGAGAGGCTGAAAACCCGGCCACTGATGGTAGGGTGAGTCGAGCGGGAGACATGGAGCAGACCGGAGCCCCCTGAATGGAGGGAGCGAGCAGGTTGGTAGGGAGTCAGCAGGTCAGAGAGGTAGGAGGGGGCAAGGCCATGGATGACCTTAAAGGTGAAGACGAGGATCTTGAACTCGATCCTCTGGGGGATGGGGAGCCAGTGGAGTCGGGCGAGGGTGCGAGTGATGGGGTCACGGAGCCTGGTGCGTGAGAGTACACGAGCTGCAGAGTTTTAGATGATCTGCAGCTTGTGAAGGGAAGAGATCAGAAGGCCGATGAGGAGGGAGTTCCCGTAATCGAGCCTTGATGGTCACACATTGTCAGGAAGTCGTTTGTGACCTTGACCACAGCAGTTTCTGTGCTGTGGGCAGTACAGAAACCCAATTGAAGGGGTTCATGGAGGGAGTGAGAGGAGAGGAAAGAGGGAAGCTGGGAGGCAACGGCTCTCTCAAGGACCTTGGATAGGAAGGGGAGATTTGAGATGGACCGATAGCTAGATAGCTATGACGGGTCGAGGGAAGGTTTCTTCAAAGTGGAGGTGATAGTGGTTGTTTTGAGGAGAGAAGGAACAGTGCCAGATGACAGGGAGAGGTTAATTGTGGAGCTTATAATGGGTGACAGAGGGAATGGGACACTTTTAGAATCAATAGCTTTCCTTAAAGCTAAGGAAATATTATTTGAGAAAATCCAGGGACCTGAAATTTCGCCTATTCTTGGGCTTGAGACTGTTCTCTTCAAATTTAACATCGAGCCAAATTTTGGAAATCAGTCTTGAATTCAGCATTTATTTCAGTTTCCAAATTAGGGTTGAATTTAAGATTTCCAAAAATCTGCACGTAAATGTGCACAATCTTAAATGCGTTTAAGCACTTGAGTACCATTGGTAATGTGATTTGTTTTCCTCCCCATCCACCCCCAAAGTACGGTTTGTCAACTGCAGGATAACAGATATTTTGTTGTGCACATTAACTATTTCCAGAGAAACTCAATTATATTGTGGTTATTGGGAAGTAGAAAATAAAACACTGGATGGACCGAATGACCTGTTTCTGAGCTGTACCTTCAATGAATCTATGAAACCCGCATTATAAATGAGCGCCCAAAACACCTGCCAGTGTTTCTAGGATGTGGTGGATCACTGAGATGTGTTGCATATATGCTCAGGAAGATACTCAAAGATGTTGAGATCGGTGTAATTTTCCGACTACAGTTGAATTGATACTTCTACTTTTCAAAATAAAATGAAATCATGAGTTCTGTAATACAGATGTTCCTTAATAAGTATGGAGTAACACGCTCCCTGCAGAGGGATGCACCATGCTCACCTAACCCCAGAAAATTTACATCTCTTTCATAGAATAAACCTTCATTAATACCTGCATTAACAGCTCCAATTTGAAAGTGAAGTTGCTCTCATTATGTATTTACTGTTAGTTCGGCACAAGATAAAATGCTAACTTCCAGTTGAAAAGGTCATCACTGATATAATTTCCTTCATAAAGTGATGTTAGCAGAACATTCTGTAGCACACTGCATGTGAGCTAGAAGTCAGCCTATCTTTTAGCTATGAAAATTTGTTCAACTTGAGAGCGTTTCAAAAAAAATATTTACTTACTACATATACTCTGTGGCTTATTCTGCGTTACTTTCTTTGATTGTCTAGAAGATTTGAAAATGTTGTCCCAGTTTACAGTTTCAACGTAGCAGAGGTTCTTGTTCTTGAAGATTATTACTTGTCCATCACTAATCTCTTTAAGGGAACGTAACCCTAGAGATGTAATGCTCAAGTTTGCCACAGCAAATGACACAGTACTGCTGAACATGGGCAGAAACAAAAAGGTTTTAGTGACAAACAATAAAGAGAACTGAGGCTACATCACAGACACAGTCATACATTTTGGACATAAATGAAATTAACAAAGCATTCTTTGATAAAAAGTCATATCAGCATAATTGAAGCTGGGCACTCCATCTATAATGTAATACGAAGAGCATTAATTTACTGTCTCAATCATTAAGTAAGCACAATGTGAATTTAAAACGTGTAACACTGAAACATGGCACAAAAAAGAAACGGACAATTTGGTGCATGGTGAGGTGAACTTAATGAAACATTTGTTTCAAGTAGTGTAAATTCCTATTTAAATAAGCTACAAGGATGAGTTATAATGTATGCAGTACTCCTGTAAACCACTTACTGGTATTGTGTCCTGCCCCGTATAATTTCAAGATTCTCAAAAATGTTGAGATCGGTGTAATTTTCCGGCCACATTTGAATTGATACATGCCCTTTTCAAAACAAAATGAAACCATGAGTTCTTTAACACAGCACCACAGAAATGTCCAGCACAAAAGACGGCCATTCGGCCCATCATGCTGCTTGAACGAGCAATACATTTCATCCCATTCACTTGCCTTTTCCCCATACTCCTGCAGTTTATTCCTCTTTAGATATCTGCCAAGTTCTCTCGACAACATTGGCACATATTGAAAGTAAGAGGAGGAGGAGGGAAGGAAGGGGAAAATTCTGGCATGAAATGTGAACCAAACTTTATGTTAGTCTATTGGTGGATCACTTTTTCGTGGATAATAATAATTCCTTCAAAAAGGAATAATTTTTTTTAGATAAGAAGTTAAATCTAAAATTTAGATTTTAGATAATAAGAAATAATAATAAGAATTTGGTCACTCAATCCACGACTGTTTGCGGGACACAGCTGTGTGCAATTGGCTGCTGCATTTTGCCCACAAAATATACATTAATTCACTTTACAGTATATTCTGTGAAGCGCTTTGAGACATATCAAAGACGTGATAAGGCGCTATATCAAATGCAAGCATTATTATTATATAAAATCAGTTGATTTCCTAACAAATCAATCATTGGTCATTGTTCAAAATATCCTTTTAAAAGTAACTCCATTCGCTTCATCGCCTCTTTTTACCTTCATACAATACACATAGGAATAACCACATTGTAGGCAACATTTCTTTGTGGCCATGCTATTCATATTTTTTATGGTATTTTGACTTCAACCAAATGTTTTTTTCCTTAAAGGGTTGAACGTAATGAGTAATGGTTTAAAATGATACAAAACTGGGAAGGGATGCAGCCTTAATTGATGTTCCGCTCAATAAATAAGGTCTCCATTCTAGGGAAGCACAGTAACGTGCTATCCAACAGTCCTCAAGATAAATTGGCTTAGTGCCTGTGGAACCTTTGAGGTGCTTTGAAGTGCATTGAGCTGTTTCAACATTCGAAGCGCTACAAACACAACTTATAAATAGTGCAATGCTTTGGAGCTGCAATATAGTGCAGAGCACGCATCTTGGCTTTTGATATTTCTCACAAGGCGAGGTACCAACCTCATTCATGTTAGCGGAGGCTGTGAAAGATCACAAACCATTCTCATGCACCTGTGAGCAGACGGACGCAAAAGAGTGACACACAGCTTAGCACTCTCCTGCCTTCTCAGCTGGGATAATGTGTAGTATGTGGTGAAAACAGAAAAAGGGGAAGGTGAGAAAAAAAACATATCTTAAAAATCAATAGAATAACAGAGGGAGAACCGAGACTTAGTACTTTAGGAGACAAGCTAAATGAGTGACTTTGACTCAACACTGAAGTTTCTATAAAACTAACCGGTTACTTCTTTGACTGTCCTGAAAATCTCCAGTTTCCTTGGATCAAGCGGAGCGGTTTTTGTGAAGGGATCCCTAAATGTAGAGTACAAAATAAGTGAACATACTGCATTAAACAAAAAACGAAGCACGTTGCTCTACTGCAACAATTCACATGTCTTAGGAACCACATTAAATGTTGGCAATGTTTCGCGTTGAATTAAAATCTACTTTATCTCATATTGTTTATCGCAAATATTTAACATTGGAAAAAAAAACTGAATTATGACAATTTGGTTGCATATAAAGGGGGCGCTTGCATAAATATAGTGCTAATATTATTTTGCCCACAAAACATAGTCAATTCACTTTACAGTATATTCGGTGAGACATCTAGTAGACATGATAAGGCACTGTATCAAATGCAAGGATTATTATTATTATATTATTATAATATATAAGAATGCCCATTTCAAGGAGCGGCACTATCACTGCTGTATTTGTTGTGCTAATTTTTCTTTGAAAGAGTGAGGAGACAAACTTGGGCTAGAAATTAAGAAAATCCCCTGGGACAACTTCTCGTCCTTATCCTTGACGTTTAGTGGGATTGTTTCTTTTAATTTTTCATTTTTCTTTCCATTGTCAGTCGCAATTTGCTAAAACAGTGAATACTGTAGAGGAGCGAGGGAAGAGAAAGAATGCGTCATTTTAGGGCTGAGTGATCACAGGTTGATTCCCTAACTGGACAGATCTGCAGTACTCCAGAGCACCGCTGATGGTCTAGCGGACAGACCACTCAGTGGTGCAGGGATTTTTCCCTCTCAGCTCTCATTAACTCTGCAAGGCAACGCACTAAAGGATAAGATGATCCTGGCTGGAAAAGCAACAGGAAGCTTGTCAGGATTTGTAATAGCCGATTTTAGATGGTTAAACTCAAGTAGTATCCTCCAGTGAAGCTTCCGTGTCCTTAAGGCTCAGCTTTTTCCAATCTAACTAGTTATTTTTTAAATGTCCTGAAAAACATCCAGTTTCTCTAGATGCAGAGGGAAGGGTTTTATGAAGGGATCTCTAAAAGTAAACTCTCCGGGATCTGGTAAGCAGGGTGCATCCCTCTGGGTTGAAAGGGCACATTCCATTCAACTGGAAACAAATTAAAATATGTGAAACTCTCAGAAAAGTTTTGTTTGGAGTCTCTCAGGCATACTGACGGGATTCTGTGTGTGTTAGACACCTGTTAACCAAAGGAAACTCAGGTTTAAAACTAGGTTAGCTGGCATCAATCCTTGCGTTTTATGAACCTTGTTCTCCATTCCAGCCTAGGACAAGGAAAAATGGTTCAATGTCACATTAATATACTTCTAATACTGAGGCAAAAAGAACTTAAGTACAAGAGAAGTCACTTACCCCAGAAAGGCCACTGCTAAAATGACTATATTGCCATTAATCTTGGTGCAATTTTTAAAAGAGTCAATATTTGAAGAATTCACTGTCATTGCCGCCTTGAGATTTCCGACTCCTATTCCACTGCAATCTGAAAAAAGTCAATATAAACATTGTATGTTAGAATTTGACATGTTTCTAAAATAACCTATTGATGTTTCAAGCATCAATGGCAAAACACAAACAATATGAGGAATTTGTCATGAGCGGTGAGCAAGTACTCTGCTCTCATCATTGCTAACAGTTTAACTATTGGTGTAGTCAAACCTTCGATAAAATGAGTGCAGTAACCTTTAAAATATGACAGGATGTTTAAAGAGATTATTCCCTACTACACACACTGGATAGATATTGCAACATTAGTATAATATCTCTTTGGATTCAAAGTGAACACAATTTCAGCATCTCATACAAATATCTGATCAGCCTTTTACTGCGATGTCTAGTGACTGTGCATTTTGTTGGCAAATGGGCAGCCAATTTGCACACAGCAATGTCCCACAATAATTGAAAGTTGTCGCTGATATTTGAATTAAAATGCATACATCTACCTTTTGGACAGGGTCCTTCACACTTTTTACATTTTCTGATCCCATTGTCATCCACTTCATAAGTACCAGTGCTACAGCTCCGAACACAGGAACCATGATCTGTCACCACATAGTTACCTAAAATATAAAATATACACGTTATCAGTAATCACAAGACTTTAAGATTTGGTTCCATAAAATTACAATACTGAACTGGAACCTCAACAGCTTTCTTCAATATAGGGTTGAATTGTACAATTCTAACAAATGATTCATATTGAAACTTTACAACCAACTGCAGTACTTTATATTTGATGTAGAACTTATCATGTATTTGTGGCATCTCAAAGCTCCACAAGATTTAATAATATTAATAATCCTTGCATTTATATAGCGCCTTATCACATCTTTGAGATGTTTCAAAGTGCTTCACAGAATATACTTTTTGATCGTGCTTACAGTCACCTCCCCACTTCCTCTCCCACCTGGCTCGAGATTACAGTCCACCATTGGCAAGTGCTCTGGGACTCTACCCAGCATGACGGACACTACATAAATGCAAGTTGTAAAGTGAATTGACTGTATATTTTGTGGGCAAAACTCGGCAGCCAAATGCACACAGAGTGTCTCACAAACAGTCATGGATTGAGGAAAGACTTATTACCCCAGAAAAGCGATCGGCCAATCGACTAACAATCAAGTTCCTACTTACTGTTAGGTAAACAGAGGCGTGTGGGTAAGGAAACTTGCTCAATGTTTCGCCCTGCCTGAGAATCAAACCCAGTTCCTCTTGCTTGCTACAGGGCTCCCCACTTTATTGTAAAGTGTAGTGAGTGTGCATTTGTAGGTGAATGTGGTACCCCATTTGTGCGTAGCAAAGCCCCACAAACAGCTGTGATTTAAATGACCCAATTTAAATGGGAGATTGCTGGCTACAAGCATAATGCAATTATTGACCAATACTATTATACATCACAAGCAAGTTCCTAGTTGGGTTTCTTTCTGCTCCCCACCCCCCCATACACCCCCTATAACACGAACTATCTCCGGAACCAGTATTCTGTATCACAAATTACATATATTAAAATCAGCCTCCTCTTTCCAATATTGGCAGGAACCACTAATATCTGGTAACACTGACAAATCAATCTTAGAAACTGGAATGAAACATACGAGGACATTTTGCCACACAACTTGCTCCAAAGCTGTATTTTCCATTTGGATTTCTTTTCATTTGAAACGTGATTTGGTCGTAGATCTCCAGAGCTGGACATGCATCTTTACAGGTGTCTCCGTCACTGAATTTCCGGCATCCCTGAGGGGAGAAATCAAAAGTTTGTAGAATTCACACATCAACTTCCTGATAATATGTTCCAGAGTCTGAAAGGAAAAATGTGGATTGCACAAAATATCCTTATCCTATTTATTTTTAAGACTGCTTCTATGTACAATCTTTTGATGCAAAGCCGTCACATTTTATAGCATGATCAAGGGGAAATGTGCTTATCTGAAATACAAAATATTATGGATAGTTCACACTGCACTTTTAATATTAATTTGAAAATTAATTTAAATAATGCCTAATGATGTCATAAAAAAATCTCAATATGCTTTACAGGATTTATGGCAAAGTGTGGTGACTGTATTTGGATATGAATTTCATTCAGAGAATGCCTCGTCGATAAAGTACATCACCAATGCAAGTTTCAGCAAAACAAAATGTACATTAATGACACCAGGAGAAAGGAAGAGAAACTTTTGTACTGTCTAGGCATAGTATTGTGATGATAAAGTCATGCATTTTCTCTCTGTGACGTCTCCTACCAGACAATCGTAATCTCTGGGTCCAGTGCAGCCTGCAGCACATTGACTATGACAACAGTCACTGGGGCTTGGTCCTCTGCATCGCCCTGAACATTGTTGAGCACAGATGTCCTTGGTGACTGAAAGGATACACAAGAAGTTTAAAAATAACAATTACACATTCTACTTTCCCTGCTTTAGATCAGTGGACAGAATTCTTGAACCTGATGTAACAGCAACAAATTACATTTGTATAGCGCCTTTCACATCAGGTACTAAGGGGCTAACAGCAGCCATTCCGACTGTCATTTGTGATATTCAATTGGGCTTGCTTATCTGGACTGATACACATGTTTAAACCTTGTGTAAACATAATGGTATTATGAAAGATGTGTAAGCACATGAAAAGACGGAATTGCAAGTGTAATTCCTTTCATTAGCTGTTTTTTGCAGAATTAACCTGCAATTCCTTTCGTATAAAAACATTTGAACACTGTTTATGCAACTTGCATTCCTCAACATCAGATCCCACCCCCTTCCCCCACCCACACCACCAGCATTGTATATTTTATTCTCTGGTGACAGGGTTGCATATTCTGAACAAAAGCATTTGCATTTATTCATATTTGGATCGGATTTACAATATTTTCTAAACAGACTTCTCAATAAGAAACACATAATTATCAAAGGTCTAAACTATCCAATGTGTTGAAGAAAGTATTCACTAGCATATGCAATGTCTTCGAAATCTGATAACTACACATTTCTTATCAGGAAAATTGTTAAAAAACACGACAAGGGAGACCCTATTATGTTAGATGAAGGATGAGATACCCCTTAAAGCAATGATTGTAACCTGTAGTTCTCAGTCTTCATAACAACAACAACAACAGGATTCCATTTATAGAGCGCCTTTCACGTCGGGAGGACATCCCAAGGCGCTGTACAGTTGGGTCAGGACCCGAGCAGGGGGGAAATGGTCAGGGTGAGGGGAGGGAGGGGAGGGGGCGAGGAGGGGATAGAGAGTCGAGAGGGGAGCTGAAGGCACGGTCAAAGAGAAAGGTCTTGAGACCGGCCTTGAAGGAAGAAAGGGAGGAGGCGGCGAAGGCACTGGGGGATAGAGTTCCAGAGCCTCGGGGCTGAGAGGCTGAAGGCCCGGCCACCGATGGTAGGGCGGTTGGGGCGGGGGATGTGGAGCAGAACGGAGCCTGAGGAACGGAGGGTACGGGCGGGTAGGTAGGGGGATAGTAGGTCGGAGAGGTAGGAGGGAGCAAGGCCGTGAATGGCCTTGTAGGTGAGGATGAGGATCTTGAATTCGATCCTCTGGGGGATGGGGAGCCAGTGGGGGCGAGCGAGGGTGGGAGTGATGTGGTCACAAAGCAAAACATAAAACATTTGATGCATTTGCTTTATTTTGGCGCATTTGGGTGGAAGTTTGTCTCTGACCACAGTTACAAATTAAAGATTATGTAAGGAGATTTTTTTGGAAGAACATGTCTTTGGTACCGTTGGAATTATTTTTTTCTGGCGAATGGTGCTTACCATTAACCTTAAAAGATGTAGTTAATAATTAAGTAGTAACAAACACAGCATGAATACATTGAGGTTTACAATCTCAGGTTCAGCACTATGGCTTTATCTTTTGCCAAGACAATCTCTGTAGGTAGTAAACACATCGATATAAACACCTCATCATTAATCATTGATAATAGATCAGCATCAAAACAATATCTTGCACATCATAAACAAATCCTTAAGAAATACCAGACTACTAAAGGTGAATTATGGGCTGCACCTGTAGTAGGAAGGTACAGCAAATGTAAACAAATGCTCAGAGGAAGAATACGCTAAGTTTTGTTGTCCATTGTTTCAAGACTGATCCCAAAATAAACAATACCTGGGTTTAAACTAAATAGCAACCCTTCATTATGTAATCTACTCCTTACATTTCTGACAGTTCTCCAGACCTGTTCCCCAGCAAGATCCATTTGGGCACATTGAGTCACACTTCGTACCTGCAAATCAAAATACTGAATGAACGGCTGCCAAACAAGCATTAAGCAATTAATGGGGGAAAAAACTCGACAGCAAAAGTGTTGATTGGAACCAAGCATATTTGTCTAGTTGAAGCTTCAGCTACTGTAATTCTTAAGACTTATTCTAAGTGATCGAGCCGTCCTGTATTTGACACATCAGAACTTGAAAATAATAGTTTTGCCCCACTTTCTTTAATCCATGGGTCAAATAGCACCAGGAAACTTGCCAGACTGTGCCCCAACAGGCAAACTGTGTGGATTTAGCTGATTAAGCAGTACCTCAATGCACACTCTAGGGTCGCAAAGCCTCGTCTCTTGCCATCCTGTACCTATGCACCGCTTGGAATTAGGGGTGTTTACCCCTGGGAGAGAGTGCACATTCCATTCTCAAGGAAATTTCCATGTGTACATGACATATATCTGTGGAACTCCCAGTCTGGTTTAAATACTCTTAAGCATGATGATTTTTTTTTGCATGCATCATATTCCCAGTTCACAAACAAAATACTGCTTTGTAATAAAAATCAAGGCGCAGCACGTGCTAGGGTTAAAATAGAATATAGAACAGCAGGCTGTGGGTTTGCACCCATGACTCTGAATTTAGACCATGCTACTGCGAGGTGGCACTCAGTGTGAGCCAGACATTCCTCATTGGAAGGGAACACGGTTTTAAACCCCAGATAGAAATTCAGAAGGCTAGTCACCCAGGTAGCTTGACACACACCTCCTAGCAACTGAGTGCTTTATAATAAATAATAATCCTTGTATTTGATATTTCATGCTGGGAGGACAGCTCAAATTATGTCAAGGATCTACTGCAAAGTGTAGTGACTGTGTATTTTGATAAGGATTGTTAACTGTTGCCTTGGACACTATTTTAGCCAAGCTCCAGCAGTGTAGGGAGCGTGCTGTGAGTGCAACCCCTCCGCACAAAAGAAGGGAATCTTACAGAATTAACAAAATAATTATTCCCCACCAAAAATGTAACCTTGCTCTTTAGTCATGTAAGAAATATTCAATTATTTAGGTTTAGACACTCTATTCCACAGAAGGTCATACAGTCAATCCATTTCACAGGATTGTATCCTGTGAAGCGCTTTAAGACAGCTCAACGAAGTGTTAAGGCGCTATATAAAATGCAAAGGATTATTATTATTAATATTATTATTATAAAGTCACTCATATTGTTGGCTGCCATAGAGAATCAAACAGAACTAAACTCAAAGTATAATGAGTAACCTATAGTACAGGTATTCCAGCCTTCTTTTTCTCTTTGTTAATTTTGTGTCTGATGTAACTTTGGCTCTCATACGTAATAACGCAGGTAAGATAGTATTGGCTGCTTACAGTTTCCTGCTGATGTGTTGAATACCCAAGCTTTGCTCAGAATGTCACTCCACTGGATGGTTTCCAAGTAACAAAGCTGTGGGTTAGAAGAGATATGTACAACGCCCGATAAAATTTCTGAAAAACAAAGATAAACTTCATCAAAAAGGCACAGAAAAAAATCACCAAAATTTCAACTAGGAAGAAAAATACATATTCCGCAAAGTTAAGAGTAAGTTTAACTAGTTTGCTCAGTTTGCTAAGTAGAAATTTAGCAGAACAATCTTTAGTTAAAAGATAAATGTATAAGGTGGCAGATTTTGTTTTAAACATTATGATAAAAAACACGTTTGATGACTATCTTATCAAGATAAAATTGCATTACCAATAGTATAGATACCAACTGCAGGGAAGAAAAAACAGACACATTTTCTTCACAGCTACAGAGAAGTCGACAAGTACAATCTATTTGGATCCATTAAATTAGACTTCACATTTTATCAAGTCTGCAAACTAAAAATGGCCACCTCAGTCCTATTGCCTTGTCTGTAGCTTCTGCTCTTCCAGGTCTAGTCTACCACTTGTCCTCAATCCTAATAATTGATCCTCTGACCATGTCTTTGATCAACTCCTTCACATTATCCCTGTTTTCCTCCATGCTCAGTGAGCCCCAAAGTCACTGTGATGCACTTATCCTGCGTGAAAGTTTCTTATATAATTTTAAGTTGTGGTTGAGTACAGCCATTAGCTCTGAATCTATAATATTCTATTTTAAGGCCTTCAACCCTAAAGCTCAAGTAATATTTTGTAAAGAAAAAATGCTCTCTTCTTTTGCAGTCTTATTACTTTCTAGCATTTACCACCTACAGAAAGAGATAGTGAGAGCAAGGAAGATGTGTATAAACTGTGCATTTCATAGACTTGAATAAGCAGTTACATTAAATTTTTTGCATTAAAATTACTGATCCACACAGAAATATCAGCTCATTTGCAACATGGAAGCACCGGAAAAACAATGTTTAAAACCTCTGATCAATTATGAAACCATGGAATTACTTTTCTCCATCACAATTAAACTGTAAAAGTGAACAAAGCTCACACAAGCTCCTTGTGAAAGAATTTAAATGTGAAACCATTGTATGTAGCAGTCTAAATAGGTTTAGAAGCATCAGTATGAAGCCAAAACGATTGGTATATAGATTTACATTTTGTTTCAGATTAGCTCAGATATTTATCTTAAATCTGCTCCTTCCTAGTATTTATGCAGCCACAGATGTACAGACAAAAATACCAACACTCTTGAATTATCAGGAACGTAGAAGTGGATAAGAGGAATATTGCCTGTTTCCTAGCTACAGGCTTAGGAATTGATGTTGTTTAAGTTTCTGCAGTTGCTTTCATTCAGGGATGTATGTAAACCATGTGTAAACACGTGGTCAAAGATAATTACAGCTGCCCTCAATTTTGTGATTAACAACCAGTAACAAAGATTGTTTTTTTATTTACATGTTAAATCATTTCTTTGGCTTTGAATTACATAATAATGGTCTCCTGCAGAACCCTAAGTTTACACAGTGTACTATACACTGCATTTATACAGGAGACATCATACATCCGAATGGCTCTATGGAAGACTTATTGAATTTGTCCACTACCACAAATTTAGTGAAAATCTAATAAAATGTCAAATTAATGGGTCAATTTATAGTTTCCTGACAAACACACAGACAAGTAACTGGGTTCCAGCTAACGCATTGTAATACAATATTTGACCAATGAACAAAGCTACAGTATTAAGGTTTCCGAAAGTATATATATGCTATTCTGGTGAGCAAATCCTAATTCAAACATTTACCAATTAAACTGAGAATGTATGAGTTAATTGTCTGTGAGAAATTAATTAGTATTGATCCACAATATACAGAGCTATACTAAGTTCAAGTTGAGATTTAAGGATGATATTAGCTGGACAAGCAGCAGGAAGCTTGCCTGACCTTGTTCTCAATAGCAAGCTATGCGGTTGGTTTTAGCTGGTTAAACTCCAGGTATACACTCAATGCACACTCTGGGGTCCCCACCCCAATCTTTAGCTCTTCGCCAAACTGTGCCGAATTCTTTCTTGCATGAGGTAAGCATGGTGTGTCCTTCCAGGGAGAGAGTACACTCAGACACAGGGAAATTCTGTAGTAGGTGGCATACATATGTGGAACTCTCATTCTGTTTTTTTGAATATTTTTAAGGATTGTGATGCGTTTCCCTAGCTGACCAAAAGTAAAATCAAGTTAAGACGATATGGTGCGGGTCAGTTGGATAAGCTGATCCATAATCAATTGCAAAGTGAATTAGAGGCTGGTTTCAAAAAGCTGCTAATCAAATTCAGTGAGGTTTAAGTTATTGAGGCAATAGATCATTGCTGTTAGACATCTAAACAAGACAAGCAGACAGTTCCCAGCAGGTCCATTTCTTTCAAATGTACATGGCAAGGGTGGGAAGGAGCACTTTACAAAAGGTGGTGAAATTCTGTAGTAGCTATTGAGATAATATTTCTAGGTGGACAGAAAACCACAATTAGCTTCTCTTCTTCTTGTGTCTCACTCAGAATTTTCAAGTTCCATAGGCAAATTCATATAAACAATACCGGCTATTTTTCTACACCTCATTTCCTTATATCCCAAATCATCGCTTCCTTATTTATCCTGAAAGTCCTAGCACCTCCCTACCTTCCCGACCCGCTTACACTCCATCCCTCTACAAGTCTCCTTGCACTGGCAGCCGTACTTGCAGCCACTACACCCTGAAACTCTGGAATTCTCAGTCTCAGTCTCTACCATCCACCTAGTGAGGGCTCAAACCCATACTTGTTGGATGTCGAACGACCGACTGGTGACTATCCTCCTTGGAGTCGGGGGGGGGGGGGGTAGGCGGGGTCTCCTTGGAGCTGAACTAGCAATGGGATGTCGGCATCAAGCCCTCTGTGACGTTCTCGATAGTCCAGTTCCTGAGCCCAGACAGGTCCACAGCTCAGCCACGGCTCAGCCACGGCTCAGCCCGCCTGGGTCATAACAACAACAGCAACAACAAGATTACATTTGTATGGCGCCTTTCACGTATGGAGGGCGTCCCAAGGCGCTGGACAGAGTACAGCATTTCAGACCCGAGCTGGGGTCAGGGGGGAGAAGGGAGGGGAGGGGAAGGAGGAGGTTGACCGATGGCATGGTCGAAGAGGAGGGTCTTGAGGCAGGACTTCAAGGAGGCTAAGGAGGGGGCGAGGCGGAGTGACTGGGGGATGGAATTCCAGAGATTGGCTGAAGGCTCTCCCGCCAATGGTGGGGCGGGGGATGTGGGGCAGGCCTGAGCCGGCTGAGCAGAGGGAACGGGCGGGTTGGTAGGGGGTTAGGAAGTCACAGAGGTAGGGTGGGGTGAAGCCATGAAGGGCTTTGTATGTGATGACGAGGATTTTGAACGGGATCCTCTGAAGGATAGGGAGCCAATGGAGTCGGGCGAGAGTGGAGGAAATGGGGTCATGGAGTTTGGTGCAGGAGAGGACACGGGCTGTAGAGTTCTGGATTATCTGCAGCCTGTGGAGGGAGGAGTTGGGAAGGCCGACAAGCAGGGCATTTGCATAGTCGAGTCTGGAGATGATGAAGGCATGAACAAGAGTTTCAGTGGCCTGAGGGGTGAGGTAGTGGCGGAGTCGGGCGATGTTACAGAGGTGAGGGAAGGCAGAGCAGGTCATGGCTCAAATGTGGAGAAGAAAAGACAGTTGAGGGTCGAACAAGGCACCTAGGTTCCTGACTGGCTTGGTGAGTTGAAGTGTGCAACCATGGAGGTTGACGCTGCCAGAGCCTGAGGTGCTGTCAGGACACCAGTGGTCCTGGAGTTGAGGGTGGAGGCAGAAAGATAGAGTTGGTCATGGAAGGGCAGCTTCGTGACTGGGGGATAGTGAGCAATCCCACTCAGCTCCTGTTAACCCTGCAAGCCAAAGCTCTAACTGGTAGGGTGGAACTAGCTAGAGAAGCAGTGGGAAAGCTTACCAGACAGCAATATCAATGGCAAGCTATGCGGTTTTAGATGGTTAGACTCCAGCAGTACCCCAATGTGCACTCCCAAAGCCTTGGCTCTCGCCGATCTGTGCCTAATACTTTCCTGAATTAGGTAAGTAGGATGTGTCCCTCCAGGGAGAGATTGCGCATTCCATTCAAACAATCTATCTCTGGAAATCTCAGCTTGGTTCGGATACTCTTAAGCATGGTGATGGGTTTCCATGTGTGTTCAGACACCCGGTCGACCCCAAAAAAATGTTGAAATAGTCTGAAACAATGAGCACATATATAGAATGCACGCAGAAGTGCTCAGTTCCACTAACTCATAATCAGAAAAATACCAGCTAGTACGTTTTTTTAAAAAAATGATATTTTGCTCTAAATACACCAAAATGCATCATCATTGTCTGTGCATTGTGCAGTTTCTTTGTAAATGCGTTTGTATTCAGCTGTGTATATGAATAATGGAAGATTTATTTAAGTAAATTATATGAAAGCAATGTCAGTAACAGCTGGAGATGAACATTATCTGGCTCAATAACAGGTAGAGCAGAACAGATTAGACAAACTGCAGATGAGCTCTCTTTTAAAGGCAGGAAAGCCAGCCAGCTGGGTGAATTAGGTTTCCAGCTTGTATCCATCTCAAGACACACAGGCTCCTAATCCCTTCTGACTGGATGGTAAAATTGGCTAATGTCTAGGTGAGAAGCAGAGGCTTGGTGGTTCTTCAAAATCTGGCAGAAAAATATCCTTGGGCCCCTCTTCTGCATTGCTTAGCATATGGCTCGAAACCAACATTAGCAATAGCCAATGTGCAGGTTGTCTGCCTGTCCTCTTGACTAAGCTGTTGCTGTATTGCAAGCTGTTCTGTGGGGGAGTCTCTGAGGTAAAATTATACATGTAAATTGCCAGTATTAGATACCTCAGCCTTGGTGACGTCCACCATCTCAACTCTTATAAATAGACCTCAGGGATCTCACCATAACACACACTGTATTAAGTAACTATAGTTCGAAGTAAAACAATGCCAATAAATTTCCTTTTTGAACTCATTCATGTTGAAACTTTTCCTTTGGTTTGCCAAGAGTGGAAACTTAATTCACCCTCAATCATCTTTGTCCAATTTGAGGATATTACAATTTTTAGTATCAGTTACATATTAGCTAATAGATGTGAGCAATTTTTTGACTGTCCAGTTTCTTTCCCACTTATTGGGCAATCTGTGACTAACAGACTGATGTCACGATAATGAAATAGATCAGTCGACAAGCAACAGCGTCCATCCTAGTAAAATTATTTGGACTTTGAAATCTTGATGACTGGAACACAATTTTCCGAAGAAGAGAGGCCAGGACACTGGACTCGCTTAAAAATGCAGCTTGCTGCTATAATGGGAGGGATGATAAAGTGGGTGTTCTGGAGGATAAGAGCAGAGAGGCTGCTTCACCCAAATCAATCTTGTGATCCACAATCAGTGGCTGACAGGATAAACAGGCTCGCTCGCAACACTTCCACTGATACAACAATGAATAATAATAATCCTTGCGTTTGATAAAGCATCGTTCACATCAGGAAGCCATCTCAAAGTGAGTCATAGGATGTTTTGTGATGGTAGTGAGTGTATATTTACATCAAATATAGCTTCTGGCTGCAGGCTGACTGACTGTTCAATTTCTCTCCATCTCAGGGGGAATGTGTCTCAACTACATTGGTGTCTTACGTAGAATGGTACAACATAGAAGCAGGTCATTTAGCCCAACTAGCCTGTTTCAGGGTTTATACTGCACCCAAGCCTCTACCTCCCTCTCCTACCTTCCCTCACCCTCTATTTCCTTCTCCCTCATGTATGCATCAAGTTTCCTCTTAAATACACTGATCACGTTATCTCGTCATTACAGTGCAGGTGAGATTGGGACTTCACCATGTTTAACTGTGGCTACATATTCAATTGTCCCCGACATATTCAACATTATTTTTAACATCATTTTTTTTCCCCATTTACGTACTGTTACAATAGATCAATGGTTAACTAACCTGTAAGATTTCTTAGCGGTAGTTCTCTGAGAGCACCTTGTTTGTCATAGTTTGACAAAATTACGAGAGCAAATTTATCCTCATAAAGCTGGTGACCTCGGATCATCCTAAGATTCTCCAGTGGAATCCTGGCAATTTTGTTGAGTGCTATGAGCACGTAACCTGAAACTTCCCGAATACTCTGCAAATCAACAGAACATCCAATGCATTAAACGCACTACGATCACTTACCTAAAAGGGGGTCATGTTAACATTACAGAACACCCTGCAATATATATGTACAGACATATAGGATTAAGAGTAGGCCATTCAGCTCATCGACCCTATTCCACTATTTTCCAAGATACCAGAATATAAATTTCTGCTTAGAGTGGAAAAGGTTATCATACAGTCATATGAACAAAGCCACCTCAAGATATTAATGCAGTATTGATTGAAACTTTCAATTCATTTTGGGCTAGGTTTATATCTTGTGCATAGAATATTAATAATAATAATCTTTACATCTGATTTTGCACCTTTCAAGTCAGGAATGTAACTATATTTTGTACCTGAACCTTGCAGCCAATTTGTGCACAGCAATATCCTCCAACCAGCCACAAAGTGATTGAGCAGTTTCATTTGAGAGATTGTTATAGTTATATATATATAGTTGACGTTTCTCCAGTTGGGGGAGGGGTGGTGGGGGGGTGGGAGGGAGGGGTTGAAAGGAGTGTCAAATGACTTTGAGATGGAATGGAAAGGGAAAAGATTGCAATAAATACATTCTCCTAATGTATTTCAATTCATCAAACCTCAAAATAAAAAAAATCACTCAATCCACGACTATTTGTGGAACATTGTTGTGCGCAATTGGCTGCTGCATTTCGCCCACAAAATACAGTCAATCCACTTTACAATACATACTGTGAAGCACTTTGAGACTTCTCAATGACACGATAGGCATTTACAAATGTATTGATTATTATTATTATAAAATCTGATTGTTTTTATTTTTGTCTGCAGCCAATTGGGCAATTCCCAATGAATCATATTATTGTATTGGCTCAGGATTCTTCCCAGTCAGTTCCTGTTAACCTGCAAGCCAAAGCCCGAGTGGATAGTGTAGTCTGAGCTGGAATATGAGTGGGAAAGCTTGCCAGGCAAACACTGCAGTTTATAGGCTCTAATTTCACATTTCACACGGTTTACTATCCATGTTACAATTCTAAATTGGTCGTTCGATTTTGGTTGCTTGAGCAATGTTCCACTTAGAAAAACCTCAGACAAAAGTTTGTGTAGAAAAAAAACTTTCAAAACTGATACAGATGAAACTCTGCAATAGCAAACCCTCCTTTTTAATGTATTCCTGATAGGCATCAACATTTGATAAAATATAGCAAGTGAAACATCCACGATTGACTAATACTATAAATATTGGTCAGCACAATGCAATTGGGTAAACCCATTTAATTTGGCACTTGCTCTTTTGCTTTGTGGTCCTTTATTTTTAAGCAACCACCAAGGATTGCGCTCGTCTATTCCATCGCATTAAAGGTAGGATTTATTTATTTTTTGCGGCCTATTTAATTTCACATAAAAACTTCTTAGCAGAAATATAGCGAAAATAAACAGGCTGCAGAAAACATCAGTGATTATACAGTATAATTCACACTGTTATACAAATACCCAGGCTATACAGCAAATTCCATTGTATTGTAACAATTGAAGGACTGAATTAATGGATCGAAGTGGAAATGTGGCAAGCAAGCACCATGCGTGCACACACGTGGTAAAAATAGAGCATGAAAGGACAATTTGTTTCAGTTCTAGTGTTGTTGGGTAACATGAGAACCATTCTCTGGTTTCCCTTTGACTGCACGTAGCTGGTTTAGATGCGCGTCTAAATGATTACATAAATCAGATATGTTACCTTAAGGAAGGACACATCATGGTGCGGCTCAAGGAAAGTTATCTCCAAATTGCCCATCACTGTTTCGCAAGCATTGTACGTTCTGAGAAGTGTATTGTAATGGTATTCCGTATTCGAGAGCAAAGTTAATTTGTTTTCAGATCCTGAACAAACTGCAATAAAGAAGAAAAAACACACATTAGATATTAAAAGAAATGTATTGCATTTTTATAGTGCCTTAATCACATTGAAACAAGGGCTTCAGAGCAATCAAGTGCAGCGTGTTTTAGTACACAAATGCAATATATGCACATTTTCTAAGTTTGAACTAAGATTGTATCAAAATGAATTTACTGTAACATTACTGGCAAGCTCGAAGGTTATAAATTACATCAAACCAAAAGCATTCTTTGCAACCACAGGATCATAGTAGAATTAGCGTGTCTTTATTTCAACCCACTCCAACATCACAGTGCATTTTTTGCTATAAAACAACCTGTTGCAGTGAAGCTTGCTAACTCCACTTAGACTTATTTCAGTTCCGTAAAGCCCAGGTCAGACACTCGCTCATAACCTTCAATTACAGGAGATAAATTACCTTGAGTGAGTAGAACTGACAACATCTGCAGGACAAAAATAGATCTATTTGTTCAACTGCTTGCAAATCCCAATGTTGATGATGAAACGTCCAGGAATTTAACCCTCTCCCCCTTCCCCTCTCTCCTCAAAAGATTAGCAGCTGTTCTATGCCAGAAACATCTGATCCATCAGTGAAAATAAGATTCAGAAAAATCATCTACTTAGTCTAAAACTACCCGCGGAAGAAAAAGTACATTGAAGTTTTTTTTAAATGCTGCTAATTTTCTCTCTCCTCCCCTCTCCTGAAGCATCTTTACTTTTCTGTTCCTACAAAAGGTTCTATGAGACCGGGCGCTTCCTGCAGCCTACCCAAGTGGCCATTCTTCCTTATGTTCGTCCGTGTGTTCAGATCCCTCCACAATCTCGCACCTCCCTACCTCCTGTAACTCCTGACTGCCCTGGCCGCTCCCTCTGCTCAGCTAACACCAGTCTGCCTCAACTGTGAGTTTGAAGTCTCCATGTGGTACTTGATCCTACAACCTTCTGACTCGGAGGCAAGAGAACTACCAACCGAGCCAGGATTAAACACAAGGCAATTGTAGGATGGTACATTTTGCTTTTAACTTCTGAATTTAGACATCTCTCCAGAGCTCATGTTCAAAAAGCATCCCACCAGTTTAATGTAGAATAGGTTCTCTGTACAACAGCTAAACAAACAGAGCATCAGTGCTGGTCAGCATGTGTGTGTGTGTGTGTTCATTATCTTTTGCATCACACAAATGTTAAGGGTGCAGTATAGCACTGCCAACATGTGAGAAATGGACAGTCTGGCGTCAGCACTGAGATCACCTTGAGAGATGGTCTCGCACTGTTAGCAATGTGTATTGGTTGGAGTACAATTAAATAGGGGCGTGCAGACAACACTTCAAACAATGACTAAAGAGATTGGCAAGTGGTGGGAATGTGGGTCAAATCGCACAGTCTTTAGCATGTCTGGGCTGGAGAGGTAAAACAAGATCAGCAGGAAGGCAGAAATTGAAGATGACATAGAAGAATTACAGGGGAGATCAACGGAACAATTCTGTAGACAGAGGATGGTTGGTATTTTAAAAGACAATTGGATAGATGCTCAAAGTGCGGGAAGATTAAAGGGAATGGGAGAGCATGCAATGCAATTAGATCTGGTGTTCCCTGTGGAGAAAACCCCAGCACAGGCTTGGTACGCTGATCACTCATTTTCTGTATTGTAACATTCATTGTTTCTACAATTCATGCTCCCAAGTGTTAATACCCCAATTCCACCACACTAGAAAGTTCATGTGTGGGGGTCATGTGTGCCCTCAAATAGCCTGCAAACACTCACAGCCTGCACACATCTGAATCTACCTAGGCTTTAGTTAGTGACTTCAGGAGAGGATAAAATATGCTCAGGTGGCCTGTTTAACCCTAACTTTCAAAAGTTAGAAAAGAACTACAGTATCTATTGTTTTCCATTAGTTCTTTAGCAACTTTTCAAATGCTTCCATCCGGCAAAAAAAGATACAGTAGTAAAACATGCAGGTGTGAAGCATTGTTTTCCTCTGATCAGGGGCAATGCAAACAGGCCGTACAGAATGATGGCTGTTCTCTTATACTACTCTCATTCATACTCCCAATACCGGCTCCCATAGTTCAGTGTAAGGGGCATTAAGGCGCTTTGAGACGTCCTCCAAGTGTGAAAGCTGCTGTATCAACGTAAATTGCATTTCATTACAGATTCATGATTAGCAACCCCAGCAGCTCAGGATGTTTCTTCAGGAATGCTGAGCCATCTAGGACAGAGAAAGCCCTAGGTTTGTTCTCTGGCCTGTGAAGAGTAAGCTGACCTCAGCCAGGTTGGCACAATCGGCCACCGAGATCAGGGTTGGGCAGGAGCAGCCAGGGTTCACAGTTTAGACTCATACAAGCATGGATAGCTTCTCTGAGGTGCTTGAGCCAGTGAAACACCAGCTCGTCAGAAATAAAAAGAAGTAAATGCCTCCAGGAAAGTAAAAGTCTGAGAGAAGGAAGGGACGTGTGTCCGAGTTGTGGGTAGGAAGACGGTGGCAATGCTCGCACACATTCCATGCTGAGTTGTGTTACCCATGAGAAAGCTCGCAGCGAGGTCTTGGTACTTGTCATCTACCCAGCTCAAACCCGCACTTGGCAGACGGCAAGTCAAGTGTCCTGATGGTGACTATCGGTCTGTCATACTCCAGGGCCCTGTTGATGACAGCCCAGCCAGCCTGGCTCATCAGCAGAATTTGGAAGGGCAGACCAGTCACTGGGGGTAAGGACTTTTCCCACTCTGCTCCAATTAAACCTTGGTGGTCCTAGCTGGAAAAAAAAATGGAAAAGCTTGCCGTACTCGATGGCAAGTGATGTGATTTTAGCTGGTTAGACCCCAGCAGTACCCCAACGAATACTCTAGGATCCCCAAGCCTTGGCTCTTGCCAACCTGCGCCTATTATTTTCTGGAATTAAGTAAGCAGGATTCGTCCCACCAGGGAGAGAGTGTGCATTCTATGACAATAAATATCTCGGGAATTTCCATGTGTAGGTGAGGTGCATGGACCTCTCAGTTTGGTTTGACCTTCCTAAGCATGGTGACGGGTTTCCGCATGTGTCAGATGCCCAGTTGACCAAAACTAGAGTGAGAAAAGGCACGTGTTGCAGGATTATGCAAGGTGCAGCTGCAGTACTGCTTTGCCTTGCCACTCCATTTGGCAGGCCTTAGACAATATTCCAGTACAACCACACCTGACAGAGCAGTTGTTGAGGTTTTTTTCCTAAAGTGGTCACTAGAGGTCACTCTGCATCCCAAGCAGAACAGGAAAAGAAACAAAATACACATCAGGCACACATTCTGTAAGATACAATTAAGAGCTTTGTGTACTGTACAAAAACTTATTAAACGGACGTTATACTTTTCCTTTGTGCAGGAGTACCCAGGAGCCAGATCTGTGGTGCAATTAATCTGCTCCTATTGAATCCAAATGAGCTTGGGTGCCAATACTGATGTGTCACAACCTGTGCAACTACAGCACCAGCAAAAGGGTGTTTGTTTGTCTATTCTTAACTATAACTATGAATTGATTTGTTATCCTCAATTGAGGATGTGGTGAGGAGAACGCAAGGGGCTGCACTGTGATGGAGTGGAGTCCTGTAGCTCAGTGGTTAGAGCACTCGCTTTGCAAGCGAGAGACCTGAGTTCAATTCCAGGCAGGTCAGGGCGAAACCTTGGGCAAGTTTCCTTACTCCACAAGCCTAATAATAATCCCTCCAAAAACAAAAAACAATAATAAATTGGTCATTTTCAATCTACGACTGTTTGTGGGACATTGCTGTGCGCAATTGGCTGCCGCGTTCGCCCACAAATATACAGTCAATTCACTTTACAGTGTGTTCTGTGAAGCGCTTTGGGACGTCCTCCCGACGTGAAAAGCGCTATATCAAATGCAAGGATTATTATTATTATTATGGCTCACAGTAGTTTCACAGCCGTAATCTGAGTGACATAATCCAGAGAAAGAGAGGGTTGAGACACAGACCTATAATAGATAATTAGGAGCAAAGCACCAGGCACTTGTCATTAGAATTGATGACTATTATCTTTACTACTATATAAAAGCAATATCATGGCAAACCTTCTGCCAAAGTAGACATGTATACCTCCCTTGAGGTCACTGGGGAATATCTGTTCAACAACAACTGACTGTGATAAATTATAAACCATCTCACATTCTGTATCAAGAATGATCTGACTGTCAAAGTAGAACATTATGATTTATAATCTTTTTATACTTCCAAGATTAACCATAATGCACATTTATCACTATCCCATCTTGGACTTTCTCCTGCTGAACCCTGAGAGGATGTCTTTCAGTTTCACAGATCTACGCTCCATAACATGATCCTTTCAGAGTTGAAGTGTCCCTGCAGTGTACACTTTACTGTCAAAACAGATTTTAAGTTGGTAATAAATGCATCTTTCAGGTTGCACAAACCAAACCTGATGGCTCACCTCTTTTAACATGTTTGGTAAACCCCTGTGGCATTTTTTATAATTTTAAAAACATCGATTGATAGAACTTGCATTTTTAATAGCACCATATCACATCAAAATGTGTCAAACCACTTCACAGCTAGTTACTATCAAGCGCAGTAACTGTTTTTTTATATATAGGGAAACACTACAGACCTTTTATGACTGCAACATCCTAAAGCAGCCACAAGGCCATTCAGCAATTAATCTGGAGGATTGTTTGCCATGACATCACGATAATCTCCTTTCTCTTTTCATATAGTGTCTTTAAAGATCCATCCGAAAGTAGGCAGACGGGACTTTAATGTCTCATCCGAAAGACAATAATGTGACACTAACACACAAACAAGGGGAGGAAAAAGAAGTTTACCTAGAAATAGGGATAGTCTTACATTGAGAAATGTATAAATGAGCTGAATTCCCAAAACTCCAGCACACGTCCATGGCATAAACTACCTTCGGATGAGAAACAGCCGTCTTTTGAAATGTTGTTTAGTTTGTCTACTTTTGAAAGTTCATAAACACAATTAC